AGTCGCTGAAGCTTCTCGCGCAGGACAGCCTGGTAGTTCGATGCCTCGAAGTGTTGGAGCACATGCTCACGGAAAATCCCCCACGTGTGCTCCTCGCTTCATGTCGTCGACGACCAGTGCAGGAACCAACCGGAGGCAGGCTTCTCCATCGCCGACCCCGCGATTCCTGGTAGTCGGGTGCTTGCGTCTTCGATCGGGATGTTGTTGATTCGACAGGCGTTCTCGATCTGGAACAGCCATTCGCGGACATCCTCCCCTCGCTTGCCGGTGAACTTCGGCAGGTTGCTCGGCACTCGCGTGCGGTCCGCCATCGCTTGGTTCAGCCGATCGATCTCGGCGCGTAGTTGGGCGATGGTGGGCATGATCTCCTCGTTGTCAGGTTGCTGGGACCAACAAGTGCTACCAGTATTTCAAAATGAAGAGGAAGCCAGACTTGGGGGGGTGGCGGGTCTAAGCCAAAAGTGACCGCCCCCGCAGTTCGAGTGGATGAAACCTCCTTTCTAGAAGCTTCCACAACCACCCTACATCTGCTCTATCCTATTATGTCCTTAACAATGCGAATGATACCTACGGTACTGTTACCTCTCTAATCTGATACATTTAGTATTGAAAAGTATTTATCCTGGGAGGACAGCTAGAAGAGCTGTATGGACATCCTCACACAGATTAATTCGTCGAAAAAAGGTTGCTTGTACCTCAGGCAACATTTAAACAACATCTCGCGACACCATACCTACACAAATATAGCCATATTGACATCCCGACCGGTACCACACAAAGCCAATTGACAATGAAATCAGGGCAACGTTAGCGACAAGAGAATGCAGGATGACCAATCAGCCTACAACAACACTGTATTGCATAGTTCCTAGTTACTGACGGATAACTGAGGATGTCTTACGTCCACGCAGCTGAGCTCTTGGCCTACAAATTAAACCTGTCCGCCTGGATCTCGGACAACCTCGCTGGCATTACATGTAGATCATTGGCTCCATATAAAAAATGGTGGTCGGCACTGCAAACGCTTACGTCCTTAGCTCTTAGCCTACAAACTATAAAATCTGTCCGGTAGGCAGCTTCGCCGGCAGTAGATAGTTGGCTCCATATAAAAAAGGAAAACTCCGGAATATGACTCAAAATGAATTTTTGTGCAAAAGGTGATTCAAAGCTTTGTGCCAAGTACATTTGGCCACCGATAGCGGCCAGCACCTGAATGCCATGCACGTCGCTGAATGCACCAATTGTGTCAGTATAGCAGTGGGTAAACGCGAAGGCGGTGCCGGTGTAGGCATCGCCCTCTGCTGATAGTTGTTCTGGTGGAGTACGGTCGGCTTCTGTGTCGCTTAAGCGACACTGCCCACACTGCATAAAGCATCACCGACGGCTTGGATGCCTTACTCCCCATGTCGCCGCTGGAGGCAACAATGTCGTGGCCCAATGCCCTAGCAAATGCTGCTGAGCCTGAAATATGTGCTCTCGACGCAAATCCTTCTATCACCATTTGCACAAATTTTAATATTGGGTCACCTTCCTGAAATTTCCCTAAGCAAAATGATGGCAGGCGCTGCAAAGGAGGGGCTATGCTACTACTTGCATGTGAGCATAGTACGTAAGCACTGTTTGGTACTGCTAGTGCATGTATTGATGGTTGTTGTTTTGGATTTGGTTTAGCTTTGTAGTGGCGCCAAAACACTCGACCACTCAGTAGGCGAAGTATTAGCACAAGCCTTGGCTACTTCGTAGCCAAAGAAGACATCTATTAGTTTCTTCAAAGTGTTCCAGTATGGAAGATATAGTTGTACTCGAGTTGGTAAAATCGAGCTAACGTTAGATACAACCGAGCAGACTTTTTGGAATTTAAAGTAGTCCTCCCAGCCTAACGCAACGCACCCTTGTTTGGCATTTTCTATTCCAAGCAAATTCAGACGATGGATGGCTTCAACATACTTTCACGCAACATCAAGACCGTACATAAGCGGAGGGGGCGACGATACAGGCAACATTCACGTAATTTATGAAGTTTCTCGGGTTTTAATTATGGAAAGTGACACTGTACCCCATCAACTACTTTTTATATGCTACCTCTATTTATGAATACCACATCGGATATATAAATTACCAGACATCAATCAATGGCAAAATCGGACCTCCACCCGAATCCTGTACTTGAACGATGTTCAACTACTTCGAAGTAAGTTTTAACTTAGTAGAACATTAAAACTCAGCATTGTAATGTTATACTAAGTTAGAACTTACTCGGTAAATGCCAATATCCGTAAAAAAATATTTTTTTCAGTAACTCGCTGATCTTTCGTAAATTTCAGTGATGAGAGGCAAGGACTTGCAACTATCATCACCGGATCACGAAAAACCAATTGACCAACCCTGCAGCAAAAGTGATCAAATTCCTTTCCTGATCGGGTTGTCTTTCTATAAGAATTATTTTTATTTTTTTCGATTCAGCGAGATGGTGCTCAACACGATTCTCTTTACAATCAAAACATCTGAAGTTGGTGTGAGTTTAACATTGGGGTCAGATTAACAGACGTCGCCTCAGCCAATGTACCCAAAAGGGCATTTTCCAGAGAAATCGCAAAATTAGGCTCATGGAAACAGAACCAACAATGACAAAGCCTATATCGCTCGAAAGAACTAACTTAGAGAAAGTGATCACTGGTGCTTCGATATCCGTCGGTGCAGTAGTTGTTGAGAAATGTAGATGCCTTTTCAGCGTAAATTACAGTAAGTTATCGGTAAGCTATTTTGGGCAATCACGATTCACAAGCGGTAGCGTTCCCAGACGCTTTAGCTGCTCTCTCTTTGCGGTTAAATTCAAAGTACCGTTGGTAGAAGTATAAACCCACGTCGTAAGCAGTGTGAGAGTAACAGGTGCAGCAGCAGAGCACTCGGAAGTATGTAGAATTCATTGCGATCCTTCACACAATCGTCGACGGGGCACTGCATGATTGCGTTTGAGTATGGTGCATTTTGCCGCAGATCATTTAAGGATGAAGGAGTACCGGTATGATCGCCAGCCTTCGTAGTTACCCTTTTCTAGTAACCCTTCTAGCCCCAAACCTTATTCTGTATCCTACAGAACAAGCATTAGACTTGATTAAAGTATACTTCAAAACCTGTCAAAGATTTGCTGTTGGAAGCCCTTTCGCTTCTTGCGGTCAAGCGCTGGGTACATTGTGCACAGAACAGCTATGAAAGTGAACAAAACATGCTCAATGTATCCACCATATGCCGAAATGGCGAGCTTCTATTGGTCGTGGCGAGCGTAGAGCACGCTCAAAACCTGCTACCTGTTAATACCTTGCAAGGCTGCTAAGGCAGCATACTTCGGCTCCAGCCACCCATCTTCGACACGTCGCGATAAACGCGGAGGAAGAAATCGCCCTGTTCCTAACTGACGTAGTGAGGAGGAACTGGGCGAATTCTTCCTTGTGCGTGACATTAGCGCATCATTAGATTTCTTTAGCCCACCTAACAAGCTTGTTACGGTTGTCTCTCTAACAACACCAGGGAGCTTGCATGCTCAATAGCCCGTAATGACACGCACTACACACGGTTCCTCTTGTACGAAACAGGACAATATATGATATTCATGCCAACGTCTACTTCTTCCTTTACATACGCACGCTCTTCAATGTTCGCGCCAGCCGTGGGTCATCTTCGCCATTTTGGCAGCCTCCGCTTTGCTCTGTAGCCTCCGGTACTGCCGCTCCATTCCTGTCGCTTTCATCGGTAGCCTCCGTCGTAGCCTCTGTCCCTTCTTCTGTAATCTCCGGTGTAACCTCATCACGCGGAGAGCTTCTTCTGTAGCATCCGTCGTAGCATCTACCGCTTCTTCTGTAGTCTCCGGTGTAGCCACACGATGAGGAGCGCTTCTTCTGTAGCCTCTTGAGTAGCCACTGCATCAGCTACAATATAGCGGTAGACCCGGCTGTAGTCGGCTTCGTAGGAACCGATGAGGTTGTGCGCTGACTCCGCAATCGATCTGCCAATCGGGCCACACGCGAGAGCTCATAGCGTCGTCTGGGTCGGACCACCAGGTCTGGTAATCAACATCGCAACGTAGAATCAATATACCACTAGTACAATGTTACAGAGCAAAGTACACGCTCTCGCTTACCTGTAGATCACAATGGCGCTCATCATGATCGTCTTCGGCCATGGTCCTTGGCCACTTGGGCGCGCTCGACGGGCCCCAACAAAGCTTGCATTGCGACGTCTTGAACAGCGCAGTTTCGGAATGAAGGAAAGTACGAGTGGCTGACACGCGGCGGTTTTAGGCTTCCACCCGAATTTTCAAACCTGTTGGTGGTTTATACTCGTCCGTCTATTACCGCAGAATAAACCCCGTTTATCTACCCATCGCTAGTCTAACAGGAAGATGTGCACAATACCGGCTATACAAACATCCATATGCAAAGTTCGAAAGAGAGGACAAGTTTGCTTGATATTATGTCCTGTGACAATGCTTATTCTGTAGGATACAGAATACGGGGTTAGAGGGGCTAGATACATGCAAGCGCATTACCCAAGTTCGGACGCATTGTGCAAATATTGACAAAAACGAATATATGGACTTCTCGAGCCTGTTGTACATTGGCTGAGGCGACGCCTGTTACAAGATACTGCGCAGTTTGTGTTTGCTTTCGTACGCAACGTGACTGCGCTGCGGACCATTGTTCGCCTTCTCAATTTGAGCAGCAACCTGCTAGGTGCTTCGAAGGAAAAAATACCTTATGAATAACGTACCCCCTGCATCCTCGCCATGATGCTGGAAATTAATGCCACGTCCTAATATTACTTTGTGGCTTTTTTATAGGTATCGAGTGCTAAATTCTGACGTTTGGACCTGAAAAATGTGCGCAACTTTGCATTCTTTTGTGAAGAAGTACAATTATTTTTCGTCGCCAAGCCCGCCCTATCGCATAAACCAAGAAAAAAATCAAGAACTGTGCGGCGGTGAGCATCCAAGCTAGCCCAGTTCAGTTTTCAGTCCGCCGATGCACCATCTTGGACTCCAGGTACTCCTCCAAACCTTCAGGCGAGCCTTCACGACCAATCCCAGACTCCTTAACGCCACCAAACGGAGCCTGAACAATAGAAACCACACCAGCGTTCACAGCAACCATGCCGGTTTCCAGTTTACCAGCAACACGAAAGATGCGCGACACGTCCTGCGTGTAGAAGTATCTGGCCAGCCCAACCTCTGTGTCGTTCGCCTTGCGCACCACCTCCTCCTCGCTGGAGAAGACGAACAGCGGCACTACCGAGCCGAAAATCTCCTCGCTGCAGACGCGCGTCTCCTCGTTCACATCCGTCAAGACCGTGGCCTCGTAGAAATTCTTGCCCAGATCACTGCGCTTACCGCCGACACGAACCTTAGCGCCACGAGACACTGCGTCTTCCAACCAAGTTCTCAACTTTCTCGACGGCCTCGGGTCCAATGAGCGGTCCGAGCTTCACTCCACGCTCCAGCGGCAGACCGACCTTGAGCTTCTTCACTCGCTGCACCAGTTTGGCCGTGAACTTGTCGTAGATGGACGAGTGGACGAAGATGCGGTTGCTGGTCACGCACGTCTGGCCGCTGTTGCGGAACTTGGCGGCCATGAGTCCGTCCAGCGCCTTCTCCATGTCAGCGTCCTCGAACACGATGAACGGCGCGTTGCCCCCAAGCTCGAGCACAACGTGCTTCACAGTGGAAGCGGCCTGCTCCATGAGCTTCTTCCCGGCAGACGTCGACCCCGTGAACGCGACCAAGCGGATGTCGGGATTCTCGCTCAGTTCTTTGCCGATGCCGGAGTGGCTGCCCCGAGGCACCGTCACCACGTTGATCACCCCCGCCGGGACGCCAGCGCCAGCATGGACAGAGGCGTCTTGCCCGACGGCTTGACGACTGCAGCGCAGCCAGACGCGACACAAGGCGCCAAATTGCGGGCCACCGTCGCGTAGGGAAAGTTCCAAGGCCACATGATGGCGCACACGCCGACGGGCTCCTTCATGACCAGCACCATCTCGTCCGCGTCGGACAGAGACACCAAATACCCGCTGGAGCGCACGATCTCGTGCGCGTAGTACTCGATAATGCCGGCAGTGAAGTTAACTTCTGCTCGAGCTTCTTCAAGAGGCTTGGCGCTCTCGCAGGACGCGATTACTGCAAGATCCTCCGCGTTCTCCACGACGAGAGCGTGCCATTTCTTCATCACGGACTAGCGAGCCTACAATGGTCGATTTCATGGGGTGACTCAAACGTCAGCAACCACTTGAGGAGTGAATTTGTACTGGGGGCGTACCGGTGGCGTGATTTTCTTCCAGCGACGCTGGGCCACCTACGCAGCCGCAATGACCTCGTGGGCTTCCTCTCTCCCCATCCACGCAACGTGAGCGAGCTCTTCATCAGTGGCAGGATCTACACGGCGATCCACAAGTTAGTTGGACAGTATTAGGGTGACAGGTCGACGATCAAGACAAACTGACCTACGACCGGGAAGCATTTGCCTCCACTCGCCATTGACGAACCCCTTGGAACGCACAAGATCGGGATTTCCCAGCGACTGCAGCACTCGCCCGACGTGGTGCGGGGCCGAAGAGTGGTGGCTCGAGTGCATATTGGCTCGACGCAGCGTGTTCGGAAATGAACCTACCCACTGATGAACCTACGAATGACTTACCCTGATGAAGAATCGATGACCACGGGAGAACCGCGTGGGACGGACAAGGAGAAGAATGAGAAAACCACCCCGTGATACGGTTAGTGACAGCAACAAAGTTCTCTCAGCGCAGTTTGTATATTCATTTGGTAGCAGGGTTTAGTTGTACGTGGTGACGGTGCGTCCGTTGAGCGGTTGGACGGGCCTTGCGTTCTTGCCGTCGTCCGTGATCTCCAGCTCGGCGAGGTTCGCCTCGATGCGGTCGAACTGGGCCGACGAGATCAGGATGGGAGTGCGCACCACCCACCAGTCCACGAACTCGGTGCAGGGCGGGGTCGTCAAACTGCCGGCGTAGTTGAAGACGTGGCCTTGCTCGACGTACGCTCCGATGAGCTCCGAGTACGAGCCTCTGCAAGGAACAAGAAGGAGATGTCAGTAAGGGAAACAACAGCACTCTGGCCCCTCATTGATCGATCATACGTACAGGGTCATAGGGATCGACGAGTCGAGTGTGACGTCGCTCATGGCGTCCACGATGACGTCCACCGCCGGCTCCGAGTCGGCAGCATCCGTTCTCTGGAGGAAGAGGCCGATCACGAGCGCGGCCGAGCCGTCCACCTTCTTGTGCACAAAGTGGATCTCCCCGTCGAACACCTGGCCGTCGATCGTGTGCTCGGACGGCGTGTGCACGTGGAACTGGGCGAAGTTGTAGGTCTCCCCCTTGGCCGTGACGGTGCAGTTGCCCCCATCCACTGCGGCCTTGTAGGACTCCTCGGTCTCCGTCATGGTGTAGTCCGGGCAGGAACCGGCGAACGAGCCTGGAGGGGGTGCGTACACACTACAGAGCGTGGACTCGGCGATGTCGATGGGCGACTGCCTGGAGCCACCACACGTCGAGTTGACCTGGTTCCACTCGGACGGGCCGAACGCCTCCGAGTTGCTTCGGTAGGTGATAGCGGGGTCTTCGGCCAGAGCGAATTGCAAGGCGGTGGCAGCTCCCAGCAGCGAGAGAGCGACAGACGGCGAAAACTTCATCGTTAGAGCGGAAGAGCAGGAGGTGAGGCTCGGAGGCTTGGACTTCTAAGGCAAGAGTGAAAGTGAGAGAGCCGAGAGAGGAGCAAATGAAGAGCACCAGCGCTGTTAGCTCATGGCTTAGCGCCTGAAACGAACCAACCACTGAATCATGAAACTTTCGGCAGCAACAGGTTCAAACCATGACCCGTCCTAGCTCCATCGGGACAGGCCCAAGCACGACCAAGCGTTACGCTCACTCAGTTGAGCCCACCGATGCAGACCATCTTGGTCTCCTGGTACTCCTGCAGCCCCTTGGCCGACCCCTCGCGACCGAGGCCAGACTCCTTGATACCGCCGAACGGAGCCCCAACGTGCGTCACCAGCTCGCTGTTCACGGCCACCATGCCGCACTTCAAGTCGCCGGCCACGCGGAAGATGCGGGCCACGTCTCGAGTGTAGAAGTACCCAGCCAGTCCAGCGGCCGTGTCGTTGGCCTTGGTCACCACCTCCTCCTCGCTCGAGAACTCGAACAGCGGCACCACTGGGCCGAAAATCTCCTCTCGCGACACGCGCATGGCCTCGCTCACGTCGGCCAGCACGGTGGCCTCGTAGAAGTTCTTGCCGAGGTCGCTCCTCTTCCCTCCAAGGAGCACCTTGGCGCCGTGGGCCCCCGCGTCTTCGACCAAGCCGGCCACTTTCTCGACGGCTGAGAGTCCGATCAGCGGGCCCAGCTGCACGCCCTCTTCGAGAGGTAGCCCCATCTTGAGACGCTTCACTCGCGCCACCACCTTGGCAGCGAACGACTCGTAGACGGAAGAGTGGACGAAGACGCGGTTGGTGGCGATGCAGGCCTGGCCCGTGTTGGAGAACTTGCTCTTGATCAGCCCATCCACGGCCTTGTCCAGGTCGGCGTCTTCGAACACAATGAACGCCGCGTTGCCGCCCAGCTCCAGCGACAGACGCTTGAGGGTGCTCGACGACTTGCGCATGAGCCACTTGCCGACTGAAGTCGAGCCCGCAAACGTGAGCTTCCGCACTTCAGGGCTCGACGTGAGCACGCGGCCGATCTCCTCCGACCTCTCTCGAGGGGCAGTCACCACGTTGAGCACTCCAGGGGGGAACCCCACCTCCTCCGCGAGCGTGGCCAAGGCGAGCATCGACAGTGGCGTCTCGCCTGCGGGTTTGACCACGATGGCGCATCCAGCGGCGAGTGCGGGGCCCAGACTCAGACCCAGAATCGCATAGGGGAAGTTCCAAGGCATCACGATACCGCACACACCCACGGGCTCCTTCGTGACGAGAATCTTTTGGCTCGGATCGCTTGGGGGGATCACGAAGCCGCTCGAGCGCACGACCTCGTGGGTGAAGTACTCGAGCACACCGACCACGAACTCGATTTCCCACTTGGCTTCGGCCAGCGGTTTGCCACACTCGACAGATCCGATGATCGCCAAGTCCTCGCTGTTAGCGGTGATCGCAGCCGCCCATCGCTTCAGCAGATTTGCCCTGACCTACGTGGCCACGACAAGACTGCGTTAGTCGATCGAGCTGCTGGGATGAGCTGGAATTGTGTCATCCTTACCGGTGGAGTGGTCTTCCTCCATTGGCGCTGAGCCGACACAGCTGCTGCAATCGCATTGCGAGTGTCTTCCGCCCTCATGCTCGCGACTCGAGCGACTTCCAGCTCCGTCGCGGGATCTACCGGTGACGCACAAACGCGAATTAGGAGCACTTCAAGCTAGAAAGGTACCCGGCACAACCACAATACGCACCCTCGACGGTGAAATGTTCGTTGCCAACTGCCTCAACCCACTGGCCGCCGATGAATCCCTGCGCTCGCACGAGGTCAGGGCGCTGCAGCTTGGACAGCAGGGGTTGGAACTGCCGTTGCCCGATGGGGGCCAACCCAGTCATGAGTTGCGCAGTCGGGATACCGGTAGACGTCGTCATCGCTGCACAATCGAGAATTGGGCAACACGAGGGGAGAAATTCTTGTTGCTGACCGGCTCAGCCCCCAGGCGTACTGTCACTTTGGGCAAACGTAAAAGAAATCGGAGATAGGGGCGATGACTAACGCACCAAATGTCTCGTTCAGGGAAAAGATATTGGCAACGGGCACGTATCTGCGATGTAAAGTGACCCGATTGTCGAGCATTTACACACTTCGCAGCATTTTCACCTTTGGTTCGTCTCCCAGTTCTCGGGCTCGTACACCGGCACGTCGACCGTGGGCAGCGCTGGATTGCCGAAGGATCATGTCGGCAGCCTTTTCGGCCAGCATGATGGTCGGCGCGTTGAGGTTCCCGCTGACGTTGTTGGGCATGATGGACGCGTCGACCACGCGCAGTCCCTCCAGCCCGTGCACTCTTGCCTGGGAGTCCACGACGGTGTTGGCGTCGCTCTCCAGGCCCATGCGGTTCGTGCTGGATGGGTGGTAGTCCGTGCTGGCGTGTTGTCGAACCCAGGCGTCAATCTCCGAGTCCGACTGCACGAGGTCGGACGGGGAGACGGCATCGCCCCGGAACTCGTCAAAGGCCTGCTGTTGGAGCACCTCGCGTGTCAATCTCACGCCATTGCGAAGGTCCACCCGGTCGGTCTCCGTGTCGAGATAGTTGGGCTCGATGATGGGACTCGCGCGCGGGTCGGCGCTTCGCAGCTTGATGAAGCCTCGGCTCGTCGCGCGCAGTGTTGTACAATGCAGCATCATGGCGTGGCCATCTAGCAGGAGCTGGCGGTCTTTGTCGCTGGCACCAGGGACGAATTGCCACTTGAGATCCGGGTGCCGCTTGCCCGGCGCGCTGCGGATGAAGCCCCCAGCTTCAATGTGTGACGAGGTGCCGGCCCCGGTCTTGGACGTGAGCCACTGAAGCCCCATCCACGCCATCTCGTGGGGGAAATGGGGCGTCGCGTGGTAGAGCGTGATCGGCTTCTTGCACTTGACGTGAAGGTACACGCCCAGGTGCTCCTCCATATTTTTGTCCGACGGCTGGGAGGTGGTGCACGAGCGGCACACCGACTTCCTTCAGGTGCTGGGCGTCTCCCACCCCCGAGAGCATGAGAAGCTGCGGCGAGTTGACGGCGCCGCCAGACAAAATGATCTCTTTCGCCGCTCGAATTCGTCTCGGTACTTGGTCTCCAGATTTTTTGAAAGGCTCCACCTCCACCCCAACAGCGCGCTTCCCTTCAAACACCAGCTTGTTGACGAACGTGTCGGTCAGAACGGTCAAGTTCTCCCTCGACAGCACCGAATCCGTCAGATACGCAGCCGACGCGCTAGATCTCGAGCCGTTGTAAGTCCAGCCACCCCACGCCCTCCTGCTGGTAGCCGTTCACGTCCTCTGTAAACGGATACCCGGCCTGCACCGCAGCGTCGAGGAACGTCTGGTACAGCGGCTGGTCTCGCTGCAGTCTCCTCGTGACCTCGGTAGTCGTCAGCGCCGAGGGCATGCGTCTGCGCCTTCTTGAAGTAGGGCAGGCAATCCGCATAGCCCCAGCCTGCCGCGCCAGAGTTCTTCCAGTCCTCGTAGCCCAGGGCGTGTCCTCGGTTGTAGATCATGGCGTTGATGGACGACGAACCGCCGAGCACCCGCCCTCGAGGCCACGTCAGACGTCGGCCGTTCAAGTTTTTCTGCGGCTCCGTCACGTAGTTCCAGTTGTAGCGCTCGTCGATGAGGTTGGCCGTGAGCATGGCGGGCATCGCCAGGCGGATGGAGTCGAGGAGCCCGCGGTCTTTTGGTCCAGTCTCCACCAGCAGCACGGAGTTGCTCGAGTCGGCGCTCAGGCGATTGGCGAGGACGCACCCGGCTGAGCCCCCGCCAACGATGATGTAGTCGAACTCGGTGACGAGCTGAAGGACGACGCTCGTCGGCATTGTGAGGGCGATAGAGGAGGAGGGAGACGAAGACTGGGGCGCAGCATCGAGGAGAGGAGAGACGGAGTGAAGTGAAGTGAAGTGAGCTCGATGGGCGAATTGCAGAGTGGAGTGAAGTGAAGTGAAGCAGGGCTGGACGTGATGGTCAAGTTGAAGCTGGCCATGCATTTTCGTGTGTAATCGGTGTGGCAGACGGACATAGTAATCAGATTTGCATAGTTTAAGTCAATCAGATAGCTATATTGATATGCTATTCTAGGGGTATCACTGCCTAAGGGATTGCTGCGGTTGGCTCCCAAGCGACGCATTTGTCGATAATGGCGTCGCCGCGCAACGATGACGAGCTGGAGATGAACTGGTCGGCGGAGGCCGTGGACGCGTCGGACAACGAGGGCGTCATCTCCGCCGGCAGCGAGGACGAGTTCGAGGAGGAGGCGGAGCTGGAGCTGGGCCAGGGCGTCAAGCGCGGCCGCGAGGAGGACGAGCAGCAGCAGGACGAGGACGTCGAGATGGACGCAGACGCCGCCAAGAAGCAGAAGACCGAGGCCGGCGTGCGTGCAAGCAGCTATTGTAGTTGCATAGTACAGTAGAGATTGACGTGCTCTTTTGTGTGACATCGATTGCAACAGGCCAAGCGCCAGGTGCCGAATGGCAAGGGGCTGCACAAGATGACGCAGGCCGAGCACTTTAAGATCGTCAACGACGCCTACACCAAGCACCGCGGCGGCCAGATGACGTCGCTGGAGCTGGCGGACGGACTCAACGGTGAGAGAAATGTTTTTAGAGCTGCGTTGGGAGTGCGGGAGCTGATGGTGTTATCGTTATCGTTGCTGTGTGCTTTAGAGTCGCACTTCGTGGCGCCGAGGGGCCTGGGCAAGCACCGACTGGATCGGCTGCCCGCGTACATCCACCAGTTGCTGCCTACGTTCAAGAAGGATTTCCTGGGCAAGGGCAAGCGTCGCGACAAGAGCCCGTACTTCCTCATCCTCTGCTCGTCTGCGCTGCGCTGCGTCGAGGTGATCAAGTGAGTGCTGCACCGTCTGGTCTGATGGTACTTTTGCTGCAACTGCTGACCTTGTTGTTGCTGTGCGTCAATTCCAGACACTTGAAGGGGTTCAAGTGCCGCGTTGCGAAGCTGTTCGCCAAGCACATGAAGTCGGACGAGCAGGCCAAGCAGCTCGCGAGCATGTACTTACCGATCGCGGTGGGCACACCCGCGCGAGTGAAGAAGCTGCTGGAGATGGATGCGCTATCGCTGAAGCACACGACACACGTGATCTTCGATATGGAGAAGGACAAGAAGCAACTCACGGTCTTGGAGCTTAAAGACACAGCCACCGAGATGGTGGACCTCCTGCAGTTTTATTTCATCCCGCAGCTCAACAAGGAAGACAGCAACATGAAGATCGTGTTATTCTAGCTGCTTTAGTGCGGAGCTTTAGATTCTTGTTTCACGAATAAAATACGTGGCTGCCCTGAGCATCTGTACTTCACTCAGACACGAACAGAGCCCGCGTCGTTATCGATTCCTGGTGTCTAAAGGTGTAGATTCCGTTAGAATAGTTGGTTGAGGAAGCTCATGGTCTTCTCGAAGGCGACGAAGGTGACAGCGTTTGCAGGGAACGCTCGCAGCAACGACGGCGTGATTCCGCGGTAGAATCGCTTCGGACCGCCTTCAGCGTACAGTTGTCGACAGCAGTCGGCCACACCTGAGAAGCGCGGCTTGTCCAGGCGATCGGCCTGGAGAACGGACTTCACCGTATCCACCGGGAACACCACGAGCCAATACATGAAGCCAGCGAAGCCTCCTGAAAAGGCGATGGACTGGTACGTGCGTAGATTCACCGACTCCGGCGACAGCCCAGGCACGTTGTGCACAAAACGATCCAACATTCGCTCCTTGGTCGCCTCGTACGCCATGAAGTACGTGACATTGCCCAGCATTTCACGGCTGGCGGTGGGCCAGAAACCGCGATACAGCCCTCCCACTCCGTTTCGACTGTACACGTCCTTGACACACTGCCAATTGCTGATCCGCGTCCTGGTGTCTCCGTACATCGTCTGCATCCTGACCTTGATGGTCTCGAACGGGGTGTACAGCAATCCCTCCGTAAACCCCGTCGAGAAGCCCGCAGCTATGAGCGAGTAGTCCGGGTTGTCAAACAGCGTCTTGGAGTAGAAGTACCGGTACTGGCCCATGAGGCCAAACATGATCGACGCGCTACACAGTCGCAGCCACCAGCACCACCAAAAACACCAAAAGTATGAGTGAAATCCACCACAATTCTCCGGCAACGGCAATAAATGGGAAAGTTACTGCCCCATGTCCAAAATGATATCCCTGTACCTCATCGCGGACCGGAAAACCTGCGGCGACGCGCCTCGGTAGAGCGACGTGACGCCCCCCTGCTGGATGCTCTTCTTGAGGCAGTCGAAGGGCCCAGCGAACGCCTTGGAGCCGCTCTGCTGCGTCTGCATGCGCGCCTTGACCGTCTCGAGGGGATACCCGACGATGGCCTCGCACCCGCCGCCCATGGTGCCGCTGACGAAGTTCTTTACGGTCACGACGGCCAGCGACTGGGCCTTGCCCGCGCCGGCTTCATTGGAGGGCGGGTCGCTCTGGTGCACGTCCGCCGACAGCTCGCCCGACGCGAGCTCTAATGACTCGCACTTGGCCTCCCTCCCCATGCTCTTCTTCACTCCCTCTGCGACCTGGCGGTCCGATTGCTAAATGACGTTATAGCTACACTTTCGACCAATGGGAAACGTGGTTGACTGTACATTGAAGTTGCCTTTTTGGTTACCGCTGCTCTAACTGTAACGTGCCCTTACGTTCGCTAACACGGACTGGTTAGCGTCTTCGTCCCGTCATTCCTAATGCAACGAGAGGTGGTTGGTTCGCGATATTGCAGTGCTACAGGCAACTTGTTTACTTGTGGGCGGCACCGACGGCGTCGGCCACGCTCTCGTAGCCGTCGCGGCGCAGCAGCGCAACCAGCTCCTTCTTGGCGCGCGGCACGGCCAGCGGGCTCTCGTAGATCAGGCACGAGTACATCTGCACGAGCGAGGCGCCGGCACGGATCTTGTCGTACGCGTCCTGGCCCGTGGAGACGCCGCCCACGCCGATGAGCGGGATCTGGCCCTTGGTGAGCTTGTACATGTCGCCCAGCACCTTGGTGGACAGGTCCCGCACGGGGAGGCCGCTCAGACCGCCGGTCTCGCCCTTGGCCTCGCCCTTGAGCGTGTCCGGGCGGCTCAGAGTCGTGTTGGACACGACCAGACCGTCCAGCTTGAGCTCAAGCGCCACGTCGGCGATGTCCTGCTTGTCGTCCTCCGTGAGGTCGGGCGCGATCTTGACGAGCAGCGGGATACGGCGCTCCTCCTTGGCAGCAACCTCATCGCGAGCCTTGAGCACGCGGACCAGCAGGTTCTGCAGCTGGATCTTGCCCTGCAGCGTGCGCAGGCCGGGCGTGTTGGGCGACGACACGTTCACGACCAGGTAGTCGGCGTACTTGCCCAGCGCGTGGACGCCCCGCACGTAGTCGGAGGCGGCGTCCTCCGTGAGCTTGTTCTTGCCCAGGTTGACGCCCAGGACGCCCGCGCGGTGGCCGTTGCCCTGGCGCTTAGCGCGCGAGCCCACGTACCGCTCCAGTCGGTCGCCGACGTACTCGAGCCCCTTGCTGTTGAATCCATAGCGGTTGATCACTCCGCGGTCCTCGGGCAGGCGGAAGACCCGCGGCTGCGGGTTGCCCGGCTGCGGCTTGGGGGTGACGCTGCCGATCTCGACGCAGCCGAAGCCCATGTCCAGCATGCCCTCCATGGCCTCTCCGTGTTTGTCGAAGCCGGCGGCGATGCCCAGCGGGTTGGGGAACTCGAGCCCCAGCGCCTGCACGCGCAGCAGCTCCGGGTCGGCCTCCGGGTCCTTGGGCGTCAGGCCGAAGCGCGCGCACTGCACCGCGACCTGGTGCGCCGTCTCCGGGTCGAACAGCCGCACCACGGGCATCATGGGCTCGGCCAGCTGCCGGATGACCCACTCGTGGGGCACCACGCCGTTGGCCGCGGCCACGACGGCGGCCGCCGCGCCGCCGCCGATCGCCAGGTACGCGGCCGTGTGGAGGCCCGAGAATGACGAGGACGGGCCCGTGCTCATGCACGCGGCCTGCTGGGCCAGCGCGCGGCGCGAGGCGCGGCAGATCGAGGTCGTGGCAGCTCGCATCTTGGCTGGCAATGGGCAATTTGAAGACTGAACTGCTGGATCGCAATACACGCCGCACCGCGCTCTATTCGGAGCACTCGAAAGTATCACCTGGCGAAATAGGTGTCGTTGAATCATACAGGATATCGGTTAACAAAGGTTTTTCAAAAGCGAGTATAGTTGATTTGAATCGTAGTACTTAGCGGGGATATTAGAAGAGGAAGGTTTAACCCGATTATGAATGAGTGTGTACACCGGTTTTTGAAGCAGGTCATTCAGCATTTTCGCCGCGGACGGACGGAGCAAGCAAGCGGAGCAGGAGGAGGATGGCCAGTGCCACCAAGAAGCGCGTGTCGTATTTCTACCACCGTACGTAGCGGCGGCGACTTGTCTGTCCTCTGGGATGCGAGCGCCACAAAGACCGAGCGCTGCAGGGCAGGACAGGGGCCTTTTTTATTCCAAGTCGGCCTCGAATGACGCAGGGCAGCAGGAGCTAATGGCGGTCCAGATTGTCTGTGGCGATTGAGCAGCGGAGGTGGGCCACTTCTACCATGGACCGGGCCACCCCATGAAGCCGCACCGCATGAAGCTGGCGCACCACCTCGTGGTCAACTACGACCTGTACCAGAAGATGAGTAGTGGGTCATGGAACATTACGCCGGCAGTTTTTTTCCTTACCGTAATTTACCACCGAGAACATTCCTGAAACCTTCTTTCGGGACAGCAGCGATTTCAACTAGTGTTGTTTCTTACCAAGTTAATAACTCTTAATAACTGGTATTAGTAATTTTAGGCATTTAATAACGATGGTATTACCTTTGTGTATCATTTGTGTATCGTAATACTTAAATATTGTCTTAAGCATTTTAACTTCTGGAAGAGCAAGCTTTTGCTCATATCAGCTTCCCACACAATGCTAGCCTGCACGCGCGCGGTGCGTTCTCCGGTCCCAGGCTGGAATCTCTCCCCTAGATCTACGCGTCGCTCGGCACCAGCTCGTTGCTCGGCCAGGACGTGAAGGGCGCCGGCGCCACGCTGGCCACGGGACTCGCAAAAATAGGCCCAAGGTGCTCTACGACGCGTACATCGCCCCACATTCAAGCTGATCAGCAACGGTTCCGCAACGCAGTAGTCAAACGCCCGCTGGATGTCATCAAGGAAGCCATCGTGTACCTGCACTTCTGCTTTTCGGCCCGAGACGATGGACTGCGACAAGGCCACTCAGACTGCTTACAGAAGATCTCTTCACGCGCCATGCTAGTGGACATGACGGAGACCGAAACCATGACGCTCGGCCTGGCCCTCGCGGACCCCATGTATACGTCGGCGGGCGACCTGCTGGCCGACGGCTCGTTCACCAAGGACCTGCGCTTCTTCAGTGGCCAGAAGTCAGCCATGCACGCGCTCCGTGACGCCGGTGTGGGCGTCTACATCATCGGCGCGTCACCCGAGTTGTACACCGTTGCGGCCGGCAGTTGCTTCGGACTAGGCGACATGGTGCCCAAGGAGAACAGGTGCGGCGTGCGCTTCACGACGGACGAGGCCGATGCTTCACTGCTGAGCGACAGGACCTGCGAGTTCTTTGGCACTACGGAGTCCGGCACCAACAACACCTATCTCCTGTAGGGCGGGCCTAGCCATCAGTACGTGGACCACGTCACGTGCCTGCTGGTCGAGGGATTCATCAAAAATGAAGTAAGTGCCGGTGGGAGAGCGTGTAGCTGGATATGGTGGATCTCATGAGTTTGTGGGTTGTGCTGCAGATTCGTAAGAGAGGGAAGGGCTTGAAGAGTATCATATACATCGCCGAGGTGGCCATTATGCTGTTACATGAACGAACAGCTCGCTGATAAGGGTTGGACGAGGCCTAAATGTTGCGCTACAAGCGTTGATGTTACATTATTACTGCATTCTTAACCAAATCTGACGCTTCTTTATTTGTGGGAGTGCTAGTGCGCGTTCTGCTGTGCCAATGTGCGCCGTTGCGCTGGCAGCTCAGTGACAGAAGTTCAAGTTGAGGTCATCTCGTAGAAGGGCAACCTGTTTCGGCAGGTACGGCACGATGCACTGAATATGTGAGCTAACTGATGTGAAGCTCTACGATTATAAGAAGAGCAAGAAGAGCTGGCGTTTGCATTATTTGAACTCGGATTAGTCAGGGCAAAAGCGGTTTAGCCCTCCACCTCTCCTTCACCCCTAGCAAGTTCGCCACCACTAAGGTCACCAAAGTGTTCTGCGACCGCCATGGCCACGGGTCCATACGCAGCTTCACCACGCACAAGCACAGAAAGGTTGTGTGCGCGCTGAAACAGGGTGGTGAGGCCGGCAAGAGCAAATCGAACATCCTCGGCTGCGTGCATGAGTGATCAAGGCTCGAGTAGCGCGACGACGAATATGCCGTCACGTCCGGCAAGCACCATCAAGTCTACCCCTATCATGAACAACTACCCAAGTCCGCAGCAGAACCAAAACTCCTCACGAGAAAATGAAGCGGAGGAAGCTGCTAGAAATACCATCAGCCGAGGCAGGATCTAGAAGAAATTCGAAAGAGGTTGAAGCCAATGCATTGATACACATTTGCATGGGGACGACGACTCTATTGACTAACTAGTGCATGATATGTAATCAAGAAGGCGTGAACGGAATGAAAATATGGATCGTGTTGCGGGCTTAGCTAGCGTGAACAAAGTCAAATATGCTAATGCTCCCAGGTTGGACCAAACAGCACCCTCGACGAGTGGTGGGTGCGTCCAGTGCTCGACTGTGGAGTTGGAGGTAGTCCACGACGGCCGCTGCTACCCCCTGAAAATACGAGACGATCGCTAGTTGGTAGACTCGGTGTTGTTGCACTTGCCGATCCGGGCGGCCTCACGACCGGTGGCACAAGCTGGCGCTCATCAGCACGCGTGAAAACGGTTCCGCTGCTTGTTGACTGCGTAAGTGCGACTGACTGCATAGGAGCGACCGACTGCGTAAGAGCGACCGACTGCGTATGAGCGACCGCAGCCTCGTCACTCCATACTGTGCTGGTATTCGTCGCTTGGTCGGGTAGCGGGTTGGCTAGTGCAGGCGAAAATAGTGTTCTTCGAGCTAGCGGGGAAGGGACAGCTTCACGTTGGTCGGTCTGCGAGGGCGTGAAGAATCGTGATCGGTGCGCCGTATTAGACCGACTACCGCGCATGCGACTGGAGCTGTTGGGAGCAATTGGCGTAACGATGTCATCATCGCTGTAGTCGTCACTCGCGCTGCTTTCGCCCTCTTCTTCTGCATTGACTTGATAGTGCACTGCACTAGTTGCAGCCTTGTCACCCGCATTCGAGTACAAATATGCTAGCTTTTCCACGCGATCGGGTTTCAGCCGATTTCGTCGCTTGGTGCGGATGAAGGAGTGAACACTCCACGAGCGCTCGCTCGCAGCGGACGACGTCGGGATGCTCAAAACGCGGGTAGCCAAAGCATGTAGGAGCGGAACCTTATTAACCTTGACCAGCCACCAGTCTAATGGCGTGTCCCTCGCGTTTTTTTCGTGGTCTTCAGCTGTCCAGGACTTCTTCACGCGAATAAAAGCCCTGACAGCTCGGCGAACCGCATTTGGAGATACGTTGGAGGGTAGACCAACTCGTGTAGCTAGATCTACGCATGCATCGACTGCATTGTCCAAGTCATCACCTTCAAAGTCGTCCGTAGACTTAGTTGGGTCCAGTAAAAATGCAGCGAGGATTGATTCGCGCTTGAGGGTGTTCCAGCGGGAGCTAATCTGGCCTCGGATCGTGTTAAGAATACCAGAAGCAACATCATCAGTTTCGCGGTTGTAGATGACGTGGGTTTTCAGTCCACGAAAGTATTCATACACCATCAAAAGGCAACACCCATCCTTTTCGAGAGCGCCGAGAGCTTGGATTATCGGGTTCACCAGTCGCATTACGGCTCTGGCATTCACCCAAAACATGCTATCAGCCAAAGTGGACTCGACGCGATTGAGTTTGGCAGCAACATCTCCGTAACGAGCCAGAAATTCATGGTTGGAAAACAACTCACGCAGCACATCTTCGTTCCTCACGACACTGGAAATACAATTTGTGCTCGAGTACCACCGCGTCGAAACAGGGATGATTAGCGCGCGCTCGACGCGGTGGTACTCGAGCACAAATTGTATTTCCAACTTCACGAAACGCGTTGACCGAATATTTCTGCCACACCAACTATACACATGAGGTATTACCGGTAGCAGATCGAATATTTCTGCCACACCAACTATACATAAAAGTTATTAACGTTAATAAATGGTAAGTACGAAGGTAATAACGGTAACTGGTAATAACTGGATAAGGATTTGACCAACTCTAATTTCAACGACGACCCCTCTCGACCACTTGAGAGCGAGAGACACGTCTTTTCGATATGAGGGTAGTTTTAGAACCTCTGAACCGGTCAGATCTAATAGACGTTGATTTGACGACGCCCACTTTATAGCGAGAGCCACGTCTTTTGGATCTTAGGGCGTTTCGGGACCGCTCGTTCAAACTATATTGATAAAACCAATAGAACATTACGCCGGCAGTTTTTTATTTTCATAATTTCTTACCGTAATTTACCTCCGAGAACGGTGCTAGAACGATCTTTGTGGATAGTCGTCCGTTTTACCTACACGACCTCTCAACCACCTCAGAGCTCGAGGAGGCGTCCGTTAGCCATCGAGCAGTCGCGCGACCCTGTAGACGTGCAGGATTGCACATGCGAGGGTAAGATGAAACTCGCAAGAATTACCGGTACATTACGACGGCCTTTTTATGAAATTGATTGAAAATTCATTTGATCCTGATATGTAAATCTTATAGATATATAATAATTACTACTAGTAATCACAATGTGCAACTACATCTTGGAAAGTGGAGCAACGTGTAAGGCGAAGCCAGCCCAAGATCGTTGTGGGAGACACCCATTTTCAAAGTTCCCATCCGTAGAAGTATACTCACCTGAAGCGAGTGAGGACATGATGAAGAAAATAGTTTCAGCTCCGATGGGTGAACGAATTACCTGCTTGTGCGGGTCGTCGATGGAAAGATGGAACTTCGCGAAACACTGTAATAAAGGAAAACATTCGAAGTGGATCGAGTCAATGCCATATCCAAAAGATCTCGCGTGGTGGGGCCCGGACTATAGCAAATGGTGATCCAACATTAATATATTTTTTTCAAAAAAATTAAGAGGCTATGTATATAGATACCCACACATACAACATGACGATCGAACTATCTTTCGGAAAATACGAAGGTCAATCCATTGAGGATGTATTCAAGAGTGATCCTGGATACTGTCGGTGGATTCACAACCAGCCCAGTCTCAACATTAGTGAGGATATCAAGATATTCCTACACAGCAAGTTCCTAAATAATGATAATTCATATATGATGACTTGGGGCAAGTACAAGGGTAAGAGTCTGAAACAGATCAGTCGTATGGATCCGAACTATATCGACTGGCTTCGTAAAAGTGAATTCGTGATTGAGAAATGTCCAAAGCTACTCAAGGAACTTAACTAAAGAAAAAAAAATTTGTTTCAATAAGTCGTATTTCGAACTGACGCTGTAGTGAAGTCTAGAACCTCTCCGGTTAGTCTATCGAACGTTAGTTCCTGTTCGCTAATTACGAGGATCAGCATATTCACACCTTGGCATCCGGCGTTCGTACCTTGGATCTGAATAGCCTGAGGTACATCGCGCTCAGTCAGGCGACTGACATCGGCAATAAGCATGCGGTTTGTGAGCGACCACGTCTGATAGTCAAGTAGACCATTTACGAGCTCAGGGGTTAGATCTCCGTCAATCGCTGAAATCTTAGCAATTTCGTTGGTAAAGTGGTGGAAATCATAGTCATGACTGATATCGAACACCTGAGTCGAGCCAATACGAACGTTAAAGTTGCGAATCGACGACCCAGGCTGAAGCGTGTATGGAGAGCTATCGAAGGGGCTCTGGAACTGCTGAACAGTAGCAGAAGCAAAGTTGTTTGTCTGTTCCGCGAATGGTAAAAGCACAACATATTTCGCGTTTTTAACACTTGCCGATAGCTGTAGATCGAAAGAAGCATTTAGTTGAGTCGAGAACTTACCAATACCAGCACGCTGGTAAAACCACTGTGCGTAGCAATCATTGTAGCGAACCTTCTTAACCGGCTTAGAGATAATAGCTTGAGGGTTCTCAAGATGAACGAAAGGGACATACAAACGAGCAGTAGTAAAAGGCATGTATGTACCATCGATGGTAGGTTCAAGAGCATTTACAACCGCTCCCCAAGCAACACTAAAGCCCGCAGATGCGGCAAGCACACCATTCATCGGATTACCGGTAGCAGAAGCGGCAATCATGACCGGACAACTATTACCAGACGATAGAGTAGTAGAGGTTAGCGACATACCCTTTGAAGCATCTACCGCGACTACAGACGTTCCCTGATTCACACGGAAACGCAGGCGAATTTGAGGGTTAGCCATCAAGTCAAGCTCACGGAAGATAGGATGCAGATCGGTGAGCTTAATCTTAAGCATGTAGTTCCACGTTCCCATGATTGCGTTAGCAGCAGTACCACCAGCTACGAAAGCTCCACGCGAGGTCTGGTTAGAAATGGTAGTCGATGCAGCAGCACCACCTACCGACGGCCACGAGCTGGAGAAGTCAGCGCCAGCCGTAGGAGGATTCGATAGAAGGCGTTTAACGAAACCGTCATTAGGAATAGTTGCACCACCAGGAGGAGCCGAGACAGCAAAGGAAGACGAGAAGGCCATGGTGTTTGAATATCCATCACCACTGGTAGATGCGGATCCAGAACTGTATGATACCGACTGAGCACAAGAACGATTCAGCTCCGTGCTTTTCAACGTACTGAGGGCTGTACCCAGTCTGAGCACGAACGTTATTCCAAAAGAGCTTGTAGTCAGCCATCGAGACGATAGTCTTTCCATTGAGTTCCAGACTCAGACTATCAATAACGTTCCAATTTCCGCATTTTAGAGTAGCCCATAGACGATTGGCAGCGGCAGTTCGAGCAGTGCCACCAATCTTCATTGAGACCTTGTAGGGAAGCATAATGTAGGCATCACGGAGGCTTGCGAAGCCCTCGGAACCGTTAAGCTGAGCTGTAGCATCGATAGTGATGACACCATTCTGGTACGAGCCCTGATTTAGGTCAATAACGTGCGGTACACGCTTGCTCGAAGATACCTTGATCTCCGGGTCGCTCTTAAGCGAGCTCTGGTACAAGTACTGATCGGATAGTTGAGTTTCGCTCATCGTTGAATCTATATGGATCCTAATATAGTTTAACAAAATTAAATATTATGTCGCACCTCATCAAGCCAATCACCTCAGATCATGATCTCATCGAACTCGCTGAGGAAATGAACGTTCAACTCGATAATATATTCGAATCAAATGAGATAAAGTCCCATCTCCCCAAGAAAGGGTCATTTCGGATTCTACTTCGCCCTCCTAATCTTGAGGTAGGACACTGGACGGCGGTTCATAATGGTGAATTCTTCGATAGTATGGGGGAAGGACCACCAAAAAAGTATGGTATCGATCGATACAATACCAAGGGACCTACGGTGATTACTGTGGTCCATTTTGTGTCCTATGGCTATATTCGAAGCAATATCGTAAGCCAGATGTATTCTAAACGATGAAAGATCTAAATTTGACAATTCTGGAATAATTTAACTCAACGAATATAGTAATCATGTATCGCGAATTAACAATCTCCAGTGATATTCCAGCACGGAAGCTTACCAAAGCTTTCAAGACTGGTAAGCTAAGCCTTACATCAAGCGAACTAAAGGGTAGTGGCTCAGTCATTCATCTCCACCCTGCTTCGTTTGAAAAGGCGATCAAGGCTCGTAAGGCTGGACGCGGTGTCAGACTTGACATTACCAAGCACGAAGTAAAGAAGGGCTACAAGAAGGCTCAAGGAGGCTCTATCTGGTCCAAGGTGTGGGGAGGGATCAAGTCTGCATACAAATTCGCTAAGGATTCGGGTCTATTAACGAAGGCTGTTGATGCGGCGGTTCCTGCTTTAGCTACTTATGCTGGACAGCCAACGGCTGCTGTTCCAGCCAGAGCTGCAATCAAGTCTCTAACCGGTATCGGTATTTACGATTCCGATAGCGACAAGGAAGGAGGACGCATATCGATGGCTGATGTAAAGAAGGCTGCTAAGAATGCGCTTGGGTATGCTAAGCGTAAGGGTGTTCTAACCGATGCGGTCGATGCTGGAGAGAAGTTCCTACTATCAAAGGCTACCAAGCCAGAACATGAGGATCTAATCAGATCTGTGCGAAAGGAGGTTCGTCGTCGTTATGGTGTAGGAGTAGCAAAGAAACGCCCAGCAAAGGGCTCGCCGGAGATGAAGGAACGAATGGCAAAGCTGCGTGCTATGCGTAAGAAGGGTAAGTCTGGCGGTTCATTTACGTTGTAAAAAAAATACTCTGGATGACTTATTTTTTTGGTCGAATCAGAAGCATGATGGATACTGACGTATCTCTAAAAATCACTTTTTTATCGTTTTGGTTATAGATACTGAGAGTAATACTGGCTCGAGCGCCATTATGACAATTCATCCATGCATACTGGGAGGGTTTGTATGAAATGACCTTTCCAATAGCGGCATCGCCTCTATCAAAAGCGCTGACAATATCACCAGAAGCCACATATTCATTTTTAATCAGATCGCAACGAACGATGTAGGAACTGGTTGGGTGAATTTGAGGAATGATGTTCGATAGCTGAGCACTTGCAACAGTAGCTGATGTAGAGGGATAGGTGCCCACTGTGAGTCCAACTACTTTTCCAAATTCTGCATTATCGATGATCAATCGAGGAACTCGAGTGGTAGTCGGCAATCCAGTACCGCCAGCTGAGTATAAACCGGAGGTAGGTCTGGTCCATGTACCTCCAGTAGTTGGTAGAGTTGTAGGGGTAGGAGAGAAATCAAGCTGGCAAGCGTAATAGACACTGTTAGCACTCATCTTGATATAGAATACATTATTCCCAGATGGATCGATGAGATACGCTCCAGCGTTGACAAGAGAAGTCTGAATGCTTCGATTGATATCGTCATACGAATAGATACCATCAGGGAGGGATACACTGATTGTGGATACAGTTCCAGCGGTAGGTTTAAAGTCAGCGAAGCGATAGAAGATAGCTAGCCAAACAAACAGAAACCAATTTGCCGAAGAACACGCGGACGACTCTGTACTCGGGGCAGAAGTAACACCCCGACTTTGACGTCTTCAAGAGCCCTCCAGGAGACTGCCTGCGCGCGGTCTAAGCCAGTTTAGGGACGCTTCCAAGGCCTCACTGGTGTAGCGAGCACTGGTATAGTGGGGACTCAAAGGTACCAAGGCAAAATCGGCAGTGACTGGGGTTTCGCGCCCCGGAGTGACCTGTGAGAGCTTTATTTTCTATTTGCGTGCTCTAACCGGGCATCCATTTCATATTCCCTACTGTGTGTCTTTGGTGGTTGAGGTAGTCACCCCCCAGACCGAATTGATTGACTACTATGTGATAGGACTGAATTATATTTTGTATTGTTCCCTCATTCTGTGAGGGTGGTGCGCGTAAGTGAATGTGCATCCAGGGCTGACCAGTGCCTTGGGTGACGGCTCCGAAGTTGACTGGTGTATAGACCCCCCCACCCAAGGGTCTCAAAGAATAAGTGGTGGCTGTATATTTTGTGACGTTTAGCTCGGCATTGTATTTCTGTGTGTTGGTTATTCTGAATTACGGATCTGACTGTGGTCCCTTTCATTCGGTCTGACCTTCTGTTCATTAGGTGTGGTTTATCCCAGGAACACACCCAGCAGACTTTATTCTGTATCGCACCAACTCAACTCGGTTGAATCCGGTCCGCCAAAGGTAAACGATACCTATAGGGGTTGACACAAGGACACACACCAAACACCGGACCGCATTAGTGCGATTCGGTGCGTCCAAGCGGTTCCAGGCCCGGGTCATTCAGTGTCTAGTGGGTGGTTATCGCGTGGACAATCTCTGGTACTCCGAACCCGAATTCATTCGGTCCGGCATAGTGCGCTATACACCCTGGACGATAAAGGCGTTCACCCGCCTCACCTCACTGTACTCGCCAAACTGGCAGAACTGCACCAGCAAGGTATACGGGAAGCCGTGACCGCAGCTACTGCCACTATCTTCCGTTTGTAAACAGCAGCAGCAGACTATAATTAATATAGCAGAGTGTGCATTATAATATACTTCAGCAAAGTAGTGGTCATAAAAGCTCGGTCGCGAGTCAGTTTATGTAAAAGAAAAGAGTTAACCCTTGGTACATGACTTTTGAACGATACAATAATGAAGTATTTGCAGACATCGATGATGTCAACCAAACCTCTTTTCCTTATGGCAATTGCGTTTAGCTAGCGAGCTTTGCCGACTATGGGCTCCTTCCTGTTAAGATCCCACCGCAAAACATTCCGTACTCTCGCGAAACAACGTGTTCACCTCATGGTCGGCATGGAGATGTCCACGCCACTTCATTATACTGCCTAAGAAGACAATATATTTGTTGCTCTTCCTTATCATTGGGTGCAGCTGCTGTGCGCACTGTCACGATACTTGTCTACTTTCCCGAATGAAGTCTGTGGAGGCCATGAGTCCTCGAAAATACGTCGAGAATTTGCGTTTAACCATGTACATCTCATGGCTGCATGTGCGCTTCGTGAACAGCATGATGAGCACGCTCCCCGTGCTGCATCCAGCCCGCTGTTTCCAGGCGAGACCTCGTGCATTACCATACAACTTCTTTATTGCTATCGGTACTTACTAGAAACAACGCTACCATTCTTCTCATGTTGCTGAGATCCACGTCCGTCACATGCATCCTCGTAATTACATCAAGAAGCGATATTTTTTTTTGGTGAGGTACATTACAGTCATTTAGGTAGCCTAACAACTAAGCCAATGTCCGTCTGTCAGAAGCCTACATATCTTCTGTCAGCTCGCTAACTACTTTGTGATGTGCTAGCACATGCGACCTCCGTAGAGTTGCCTAGCAGGAAGCAAGCCTTAGCCTATCAAGCGGGACACCCACCCGTTGTAAACTTCTAGGGAGGTCCGAACCCTACACTGCCTCGACGAGCAATGTTGCACAAATCATCTTACCATCGTGGAAATCAGTAAATTACCAACAATGGTAAACATACTCGGGTTCATTATGTGCTGTCACGACAAGAGCCTGTTGCATACAAAATCGCGTACTAGGCTTTCCGCGCTTAGTGTAGTCATATACAACGCCACTCTGGCGCTCGCCGCCGCCACCGCTCAGCATCATGGCATCTCGACAGCTGCATAAACATAATTAAACCCAATAGTTAGCACCAGTAGCAGCACCTCATAGATTCTGTTCACCACGCATTGCCTGGTGCTTGCTGCTACCGAGGTGGTGCAGTCCGCCACCAGATAAGCTGTAGGCACGTACCCGCATAGTTAGCAACTCTATGAGCACCACATTCATCACTTACACCACGCACCTGCTTCGCGGCGCTGCTGCTCGCTGACGCCGTGCTGCTAGCGACAATGCAAGCTATAGGCACGTATACAAATCGCATAGTTAGTAGTTAGTATTAGCTAGACCACTGCACGTACAGCTAGCGATTCCATGCACGTCGAGGCAGGCACGAACGTTGAAACGCACCCATCGATACTTCCTTGCGCGCTTTAGCCCTATTGAGGTAAATTCACGAATGGTGGGCTATGGGTTGAAGTCGGAAAGGGGAGTTGTCCTGTTCAAGGCAAAACAAGACAGCTCATCCCGCTTAGCCGACTTTTCAGAATAAAAAAGGCAGGCGGATTGATAAACTGGCGTTCACTATACTGATCCTGTTCAAGTCCAAACAAGACAGCCCACCCTTTAGACTGGTTGACAAATAGACTTGCCTTCACTATACTATAACTACAGGGACGCTGTCCTATCTGGGGCAAACCAAGACAGCCCATCCCTTCACTTCTTCCCTACTGACTACGATAGAGAATTTGTATTGTTTGTGTAGACTGTGTGTAGACTGCTGCTTTCTATGCTGCAACCTGCCAGTACGAGGTCCTGCCAGCGGGACCAGCTGGCGCGGCCCAGCTAACAGCGCCCCTCCAACAGCGTAATGGCTCAGCACTACGGCCAGCTTGTGCACGCACACCTAGCTAGGGTTGAACACGATATGCGTACATCATTATAAATAGTATACAATGGCTCTGCATTTCTTAATTTTATCAAAGCTGAGCCAGTCTTGCTCAGGTGGCGAAGCAACCGCCCATACCTGGTCCTGTATCGCTAGTGGTAAGCGCGTTGCTAGCCTGGTATACATTTCCCTATATTAACCGGCCGGTATTCGGCGGTATCGGCCAGCGCGCGCGTGCTGGTTGTAAGTAGTTGTGTAATGTACACAGTAGAAGTAACAGCAAGTAAAGTAACAATGATAACCGGTATTTTGAAGTAAGCGAAGTAGCGCTAAAATGAAATAATAAATGGACTCGGGGGATAATTGTACCCCAGGGGTACAATTTTTTTAGCGTGTATAATACAGGTTTAGTATGGGGGAAGAAATTAAATTAAATTAGGACCAGGGGGACATTTGTACCCCTGGGGTACAATTCAAAAGCTAACGAACTGTGAATTTTTGACAGGCGGCCTTTCACCTTGCTTACCATAAGTATGGCAGTAATCTACACTTTCTCGACCTTATTTATACCCGACTTAGCTGATTCTCGTGCTTATTCCGGGCTTTCCCGATGGTGAGGCTGAGCTGAGACGGTGTTCTTATTTAGAACCTGCAGACACAACCTGTTCCGAGCGCAAAGTATTGTGAATTTCGGCCAAAATTGGACTTCTGGGGCGGTTCTTGCAATCGCCTCCCAATACAAAATGCCTATGAAACGGTGATATACCTTATCATTTTGTATAAGTACGGATCCAGCGCCTAAAATAGCCTTAGTATGGGGGCGATTCGGGGGCGGTTGATTGAACGAATAGAACCCACAATATCGGAAGATAACAAGGCTTCCTCGCTGTGTGTACAATAGCGAACGACGGCCGACTGACATCGGATCCATGGCGCAGCGGAAATCTCGCTACCCCTCGACCGCAGTCAGTGGGCCGGGCATAAGTTTTACGGTTGCAGTAAACCCGCCTTCTCGGTTCACAGTCCAGCTGAAAAGTGCAGTATGTTTACCGAGTGAAAAGTTCAAATTGCTTTGGTAAATTCATAGACACCCAGGGTACCTGACGCCTAGTCCAAAACAAGTTGGTTTAGGGCGGATCCGGCGTCACTCTGGCCGGCGGGGTCATCCTAGGCCTCGTCCTCTGCCTTTGATCCGCGTCCAGATCGCGCCCACCGAGTCGACCTCCGTGCCACAGGTGCCGACGAAGCCGCCCAGCTGGTAGCCCTCGGGCGCGGTATCCTTCCCGATCTTGGTGGTGCGGGTGCCTCCGGAGACGGTGTTGTTCGGCTGGTGGTGAACTGGATGAACCGGATGCGCGTGTGGCTGTGGTACTCTCCCCAGTGGGCCTCGATGCCCGTGATGTACTCGCCCTTGCCCATCGTGACTGTGTTGGGGGCTCCGCCACGGCCGCCGTGGTACAACGTCGTTGGGACCCCCGCGGGGTCGACGATGTCGAGACCGACGCCGTTGAGGCGCTCGCTGGTGCGGATGGTGATGGACTTGACGCGGTGTCCCGGGGACACCAACTCCAAGTCGGAGTACTTGTTGCCGTGCGGGCCGCCGAAGACCTCGCTCAGTTGAAGGCCGTTTTCGAGAGCAGCAGCGCCAGTTGCAGCCAGTGCCACGGTCACGAGGAGCTGGGAGACGAATTTCATCGTTGTCGCTTGGGCTTGATGCTGATGGCAGGTAGGGCGCGAAATTGGAAATGACTTTGAGACCCTTCGGGCTTGGTTGCACTTCTTCATGCTTGACTTGAACTCTCCGTTCGTGAAAAGCAAAAGCGCCGGCGGAACCTCGCTGATGCGTTTACGGACGCATTACATTGCGCCGTGCGCTCTAGGTTACCCACACATTGCCCCCACGCCATCATGGGTTTCATGGGGTTCACGTACCGCTTTAAGATAGGTCCACGGATCCGTAAGGGATCATTTCGTGTTGTGTCGTGTGCGGTGCTGCATTATTATAGTCCCCACATGTTAGCGTAGGAACTGACACCAACCGATACTAATGTCGTGCTTTACACGGGGAAGCTCTGGATTTTCTTAAACCTACCTGGTATTCTGCCTATTGTTTCTTTGAAGTTATTAACAAATGCCTCAGGTTTTTGCTACTAAGATTGTCAATCATAAACCCGACCTAGTACGTAGGAAATGAAAACTCTGCAATCCATGCAAAATTTTCTAACTTGTTTCGCTGCGACTTAGGCGCGCCACACCATCATTAACGTTCAAACATTGTATGCATCAGCGAAACTCCGTATTAAGACTTAAGAATAATGATGTCATTACAAATGAGCTTGCAAATACAACCTCCAGTTGACGATTGCTAGTCTCGCCTCGTTAAGTATCTGGTTGCGCTCCTCAAGTGGCAGCTACCGTGGTTAGTATACAGTACACGTAGACGAGCAAAGCAGTTGCGCTTCGGACGGCATTCATGTGAATAAATTACTTCGGTCCGTCGTAATTTACCGATGATGTTGCACTTAGCCGCCACAAGCAACATCCACTTCTTTTGCATCGTTTGTAAGAGGGTTATCCATTTTTAAAGGCTAATATAATAGTTTAAAGTATCAGACTGCATTCTCGATACGAACGGATATAACAAGTATGCAATGTAGGGAGAAAAAACGCTATATTGGGCTCGAGTATACTGTTAGAATCTTATATAACAGGAATATCAGATTTCAAAGTATTTTGAGGCTAGTTTTGAGTATCATGCGTTAGTTTGGGTTCTAAGTATAAGAATTTGGAGTAAGTTTGGGTCGGAGTGACTCTGGATCTAAAATTAGCGTGGGAACTGACACCAACCGATACTTAGGGAGTTTGCGAAATGTGACCATTTCGTCGCCGATGCTGCACTACCCTGCACTTGTGTTCAATGGCGAATATATATGAATCTCTTGCAACTTGTTGGCATGACACATTTCGCCTTCGACCTCGACACCTGCATTTCATTTTCTTGGTGCTGCTGGCGACGCGAATTAAATCCCTAGCGATGCCGCAACACAATGAAACTCACAGACAACCTTTGCACGACAAAATGTGAGGGATCGGCATATGATATACAGCAATGGCTTCGTCGGCACCTGTGGCACGGAGGTCGTCTCGGTGGGCGCGATCTGGACGCGGATCAAGGCAGAGGACGAGGACTCGGACGACCCCGCCGGCCAGAGTGACGCCGGATCCGCCCAGCCGATGTAGACCAAACTGTCAGAGCTTGGTGATGGTATACTTGTCGAAGATAGACTCGTTTGTTTTCGAGTCCAACACATCGGAGTTGAAGTCTACAAACATCAATCTAAAATCAAGTTGGATCCTCCAACTTCCTTCTACCCCAAATGTTCCCTTTCCCTCCTCCAATCGCATCCCTCCAACCTTCCCAATCTAAAAATACCCATTCCCCCGTCCAATCACAACTCCATCCGCACTCCAGCAGCATACTGAAAACAGGATGCCGCGCTCGAAGCGCAAGCGCGACTCCGCTGACCCCGCCGCGGGCCCGGGCGACGCGCGCCTGGCCGACCCGTACCTGCTGCAGGCGCCGCCCTGCCGCCTCTCAGACCACCACAAGAAGCGCGGCAGGGCCGCCTCGGCGCTGCGCAACTGCGCGGACAACCCCAACTGCCTCTACGGCCTGGGCGAGCGCCTCAAGGGCGTCTGGCGGCGCGAGAGCCTGCTGCTGCGCGTGTTCGGGCCCGACCCGCGGGCTCGGCGGCGCGGGTCGGGTCGCGCGGGCCGGCCCATGCCCTGCGGATTACGCAATCTCGGGGCCACCTGCTACCTGAACAGCATGTTGCAGTGCCTGTTCGTCAACCTGCCCTTCCGCCGCGCCGTGTACGGGTGGGAGCCCAAGCAGCCGCTGACGGACGAGGAGCAGGCGCGGACCATGCGCGCGCTGCAGAAGCTCTTCGCCCAGATGCAGCTGGGCAACGAGAGCTACTACGACCCCTCGGAGTTCGCCTCCACGCTGTCATTGAACAATGTCATGCAGCAAGATGCGCAGGTAAAATATTTGTGTTATTGTTTAGTATCTTTTGGATACTTTTTTGCTGGTTTTTTATTTATCTGTTTATTGCTGTTTTGTGGTGGTCAGGAGTTTAGCAAGTTGTTGTTGACGCATTTGCGGGCGATTTTTGGGCAGTCGCGGATTTCGAGCCATTGGGACTTGGTGGATCGGATTTTTCAGGGCCAGATGAGCTACGTGACCAAGTGTCTGCGATGCAAGAACAAGTCGATGCGGCCGTCGTCGTACTATGAGATCTCGCTGAACATTAAGGGGCACAAGAGCGTGGAGGACTGCATTGGATCCTATCTGTCGGCGGAGGTGCTGGAAGGAGAGAACAAGTATTTTTGCGAGCACTGCGATTCTAAACAATGTGCTGAGAGGTTCCTGGAGCTCAAGCCGCGCGCGCTGCCGCCCACGCTAATGGTGCAGCTGCTGCGTTTCGTGTACGATGCCAATGCCGGGAGGAAAAAGAAGTTGACGGTGCGTTGGAGCTGGGAGAGTGTGGTAATATGTGGTGCTTACTAACGTGATGGTTTCCGAATTAATTTGTGCGTGCAGGATATGATTGAGATCAATGAGACGTTGAATATGACCGAGTTGCTCCGTCGTAGTGGCCACGCCGAAGCATTTGATGACTCAGCTGGTGACGCTATTTACCGATTACAAGGATACCTGAATCACCGTGGGAAAAGTGCGCACGTAGGGCACTACACGGCTTCCGTAGCGTACCCTCATGAAGACGAAGGAGACGGTCCGGCAGTGGACTGGTTTGAATTTGATGATGCGGTGGTGAGCGACACAACCAAGACAGACGCAGCAAAAGAGCGCAGCCATGGTAAGAAAATCCGCTCACGCGATATTTACATGCTCCTATATGTTCGTGACGATTCTGCAAGTGGCAGCAGCTTCAATTCTTCCAACAACGGAAATGCGATGGAGGTACCCCAGCCCTCGGATGCATGTCGAGATGAAGTGGAGGCGATGAAGACCGCATTTGACGCTGAAGTCGAAGAGTACGTAAGCAAGTCGAGTGGCATGGAAGCTCGCATCACGAAGCGCCTTGACGTCTACAAGCGCTTCTTTGAGAAAAGCCAGCCGTATCCTGACCCAGCTGCTACTCATTTCTACTGGGTGGACACTGAGTGGCTACGTCGCTGGGTGACGGGCGAAGAGAATGACAGTTCAATCAAGACAAATGGAAAGGAGCAGGAGCAAGGCAAGCTTGATCCAGGAGGCCAATCGAGCGATCGTAATGAAGATGGCGACGATGACTGTTTGATAATTGATTCACCAGAGGTAAAATCGGTGGTAAAGAACGAGAAGTCTGGCGAGAATGGAGATTCTGCGACGGAAAGTGAAGGCTCTGGTGACGGTGAGGCCAGCCGCGTTCATGACGATGTGGAAATTATTGGCGAGACGCCTCCATCTGCTTCGCCTCTTTCTTCTCCCACTGAAGCCCCCATTGATGTCGACATGGTTGATGCACCGCTGCGCGATGATGAAATTCCCTTCACGAAGTCTGTCGATGTAACGCTGTTTTGCTGTCCTCATTCTGGCAATGGAGGCCAGTCGGTCCTCCGCTTTGCGCCCGAAAATGCGCCCAGACTAAAGCGCATATCTGCGAAGCTGTTTGCATGTCTTCAAGAAGACTGCGGAATAGACCGAGCCACGCCAATGAGAGCGTTCGAAGCGCCCACGTACCGTTGCACTACCTGCGAAAAGGCATATCGTAACAAACTTCTGAATGATGTGGATCGCCTGAAAGAAGTGAACGAGGAGCTGGAGCTCTTGAAAGGATCCCCTGCCAGTATAGCGGCTGCTGTTGCTGAAGGAGGGACGTACCTAATAAGCCGCGCTTGGGTTAAAAGCTACAAAGCTCACCTCCAGGCATTACACAAAGAGCTGACTCATGCCGCTTCTAAGAGCAAGAAAGGGAGGAAATCTCTCACCCAACAGGAAGTCAACGAGTTTTTTGCGACTTCCAACAACGAGGAGCTCGACGTGTGGCAAAAACCAATTAACGAGGACATTACGTGCGTGCACGGGAACCTCACGCTAGAGAAGCGGACATATCGTCCCGTATCTGCAGAGACGTGGTCGTACTTCAGTACTAAGTTTCCTATTCGGGCTGAGTACGCTGAAGCTGCAGCCGACACGTGCCCGCAATGCCAGGTGGACGATATGGCCAGCAAAGAGTGCATCCAGGTGGAGCGTGACGTGCGTGACGAAGTTCTCTCAGCCCCTGCGCTTGACGCTTTGTATAGACGGAAGCCAAGGGGCGAATCCATTCGGCTTATTGATAGATTCGAGCTGCCTGCTGCACACCGCGGCAGTGGGCTAGAGAAGGCGTCGTTCTGGACTAAACGAGATGCAGTGAAGCTCCCCCGACGAATGTTTTTGGTGTCCCGCCAGTGGTTGGCTCAGTGGAGGGAGTACATCCGCAACGTGGAGGAAGATTCGCCGCCGACTTTGTCGCTGTCGTCTATACTTTGCTCGCACCAGAAATTGGTACTGCCCCCAGGACTGCTGGCAGCGCAACATGGGAATCTCGTGGATGCCAGCTCATTGGAGGTGGAGTTCGTGTCTCAGGATGAAATGCAGGCTCTTGCTGAGCGCTATGGTGACCCCGAACTGCCGTTTTATTATGGCCTCCTCGTTACGAATATTGCGGCATCTGGTGAAGAGCAGTCTCACGTGGTGTGGCGGCAGTGCTCGCTAGCATCGCTGCAGTATGGCCACGAGAAAGCTATCAGTATTGAAGGCTGCCCGGACGGTGTTGTGCCGTTGGTTTGTCAGGACGCAAACGAGGACGGTGTTATGTGCGCTGAATGCCAGGCCAGCTCCGATCGAAGACATCGCGACGAGCTTGAGAACTTTTCGAACCGCGTGGTGAACATCCAGCAGCTAAATGACGACGAGGCTGTCCCGACGAGTGAGAACTTGACGTCAGACGCGAACACCTCGGGTCGACGACGTTCCCGACGCATTCGTCCTGGATCGGCATGTACCTGGCCAGTCGCTGCCAACGCTACTGACACGGTGTATATGCTCAAGAACAAGATCTTTGCTGAAATCGATGCGCTGCCCATCCGCCAGCGACTGTACTACAAGGGCGAGATGCTGCAAGATCACCGCTCACTGAAGCATTACGGGTACGTTACTCACAAGCTGCCTGCTCTACAGATGCGTTATTTGACGTCATGTTATTCTATACAGAGTGAAAGCTGGAGACGCTGTCTTCATGAGGCTGTCGGAAGACAACGCCGACGATCTTGTAGTGGACGAGAGCCAGGAGCGTGAGGTCGGCTTCGCAGACTCGGTCTTCCTTTCGCACGCATCGACGTCGGCTTCAGCTGCTGGGACGCAAAACGGAGTCACTCCAGACACGAGCGGTGACCGGGCCATGGCCTTGGCTATCGCCAACAGCCACGAAACGCGGGTGTGGGTGTGTCCTGCCTGCACGTTCGTCAACGACGAAGCGGATGCCATTTGCGAGATGTGCTCGGGCTCGAAATGAGAGCACACTTTCATCCACATAAAAAACAAATAAAACTAATAATACTAATAAGCTTATCTGCCAAGTGTACTAAACTTTCATAGCGACTGCAATGGCTTCGTCAGGTTTGCCGTCGGCAAACAGATCTCTCACTGTCTTCAAGACGTTTTGTTCACCCCGTTTCGCCGTATAGAATAGCGTGTAGTCTCTTGGCGCTCCATAAAGAGCGTGGTCGGTAACTCTAACACTGCAGTGTTCCATGGGTGCTTCAGCTGGTCCTCGACAAACCTGGGGGTGAGCTTCCTCTTCAGCCAACCCGTGAACAGGTAACTCAGCATTTTCTCGCCAAACTCGGTCAGTTCCGGAGCCTGCTTGGCTAGTTGGAAGAGTGTTGCGAACTCTGAGTTTAACTTCATTGGGAACGTGTCCATCATAAACTGGTACGTCTTCAGGGTGGAGAAGGCTTCGTCTCCAAAGGCCGACCTGTACAGCTCCGTGTACTTGAACCACTGCAGGAACATGGAGGTGCTCTCCCCCTTTGTTCGTCAAGACGCAAGATACTGAAAACCTCCGTCGGAGTCTCACGAGCTTTCAGCCACGCCTCGTTCAGCAGCCGGTGGCTGGTCGATGAGGACAAGAAGAGGTATCTCTGCATCTCATCAGCGAACTCCCTCATGCCCGACGCTCGCCGTAGCGACAGAAAGAGTGTCACCAACTCTTCGTCCGAATTCGACAATCGCAGTAGGTCGAACACTTGGTTGTTGGAGTACGAGCGGTACTTTAGCTTCGAGTACATGTCCACGTACTTGAGCCACAGGAGGAACCGTGGGTTATCGTCGAGCTTTACAGCAGCATGTCGAAGACGTAAGATCTTAAACACTTTTTCGGGATTCGTTTCCGCCTTTAGCCACAACTTGTTCGCGAGCCCCTGGGCGGAGGGACTGACCTTCGACAACACCCCTGCAATCGGCGATAACCAAGACCTCTCGCTGTCGTCGTAAATGTCGTTATTGTCGGACTTCAATGCTCGGATGTTGTTCACAATGTGGGTCCGAGATGCGACGCCTAGGTTTGGAGCAGAGAGGCTGGTGTGTTCCGGACGACCATCTACCGTACTCCGCTGCACTCCGCTTTACTTCAGTGCCCCCCCCCCCCCCCCCCCCAACACAGGAAAGAAAATACTCTACCATGGCGCGGAATGTACTTGCCTCCTTCCATGCGAAGGGTCCCTCGAGACTTGACATTGCATTGCAAAAAAACGGCGACAGCAGATCCTAGGCAATGCCTCGACTCGAGGCACTCGAGGCCCTCGAGTCAATGTTTGCCATCATCCAATTCCCGATTGAGAACGACGCGCTCAAACGAAACCCAATCGTGTGGTTTAGATGGGCTTCACTCGTGAATTCGCCCCACAAGCTTCCAAGCGAGGACACTGATGCGTCGGAACTGGGTCATCGCGTTGGTGATCTGCCGCATGGGTAATGGCGCGGCGGCGCTTCTTCGTCCGATCAACTTCGGTTTTCGTATACCGGTGTGCGACGTGATCATTTTGCCAATCAACGAATCGGTTCTTCCAATCTGAGGCAGGTTTCAATAGAATTGCTATTTGCTGAAGGGGAAATAATACATGTATAACTTTTGTTCAGCTGTTCCCCCACCAGCGCAATGCTCTTACATACTAAAACTCTAGCTTCTTGCAAGCTCCGAAACAAAATTCTGAACACACAACGGAAGAACTGCGCTGCAAGCTCGCTTCCACTTTCGGAGGCTGCGAGGTCGGTTCGCTATCCTTTCAACCCTTGCCGAGATCGAGTGTTAACCCCTCCAAACCGGGGGAAAAAGTCGTTCTTATACTGCATATGGAGTTTAATTAGACTTGGCATTTGTATACAATGGGCTAGGCGAGGGCGAGGGGAATTATCCTGAGATGAGAGTTTGGTGAGTGAGCGGTGCTAAAACTGCCTTATCCTGCATTCTTATTTTCAAAGATGACTCTTTATGCTGCATACAACAGCATTATCACGAAAGGGACGAGGCAGCCCTCGAACAGACCCTGAGCACACCCCGCTTGGGTGCAGCACGGTTTCTCTAAAAATCGGAAAATGAAACTTCCCATACAAAGATGCATATACAAAGGTGGGGGGGTCGCCTCTACAACGTAACGCAATCACTTGATTGCCAGCTACTTGTTGTTTGCACCATACAAAATCTGAGTGAGCTAGATATCCAAATATTTCACTGGTAAGCATACATCTTGAAACGGTTGTAAAACGGACTGCCAAGATGGTGCTTGGGATGTGACCGAGCGCAGACAAGGTAGGCAGGATGCAAAACGAGATGAGCACGGGTGTAGACAGGTACAATATAAAAGCGAATTGTACACACGATTACGCTTATGCAAACGATTGGTGATGCAAACAGACTTATCCTGCACATATTCAGCATAACGACACGATAATATGCAGGTTAACTCCTACTGGCTTGTCCGGCGTCTCTTGTGCGATGCTGGCGTTGCAGGCGTTCCCGGTGTTGATGGCGCAGCCTCAGAGTCTTCGTCGGCCTTGACACGGATCCGAATCACTTTACCATTGTCCATGGGGACCAGCTTGCCGTTCATCCATTCTTTATGTCAGAAATCCCAGCACGTCATTGCTAAATCTCGGACTTTGCGGCGCGCTCGCATGCACAGGTAAATCGGGCCTGTGCTGTTGCAGTCGCTGCAGAAGTAGGTAGTCGTGGAAGCGCGCTGGGCGCCGGAGCGAAGGATGGAGCAGACCTTGCAGGTCCGCTGGCAACCTTTTGCCTGAGAGCCTTGGTTTCTCCACTCATCACTTTGACGCGCAGTATGCTTGGTAGATGCCTGGGTGCTGCTGGTCGATAGGGGAGTATAGGCCGGTTGGGTGGCTTGGCGCCGCGTTCCAAGAGTATTCCCTTAGTACGTGTCCGATGATTGCAGCTGGCATAGCTGCAAGTGCAGCAACTTCATGTACTTGACGTGAGTAAGCGGCCGTGACTCCTTGCTCTTGTGAAACGCCTTATGCACAATGTACCCATTCACGATAGCCAGGTCTATCAATCCCAGCACCAACGACTTGTAATACTTGCGAAATCGTAGAGCGCGTTGTAGAGAATATCGTTGCAGTCGCAGCTGGTCATGGACGTCCACGCCGCCCATGAAGGCGTGGTAGTCCTTGATCACCCTCGGGCACGGGACCTCGACTTTCTCAGACCGATCTTGCCTCACGACGCGATCAATCTCGACGCTGCCACCAGTACACAGAAAGTGTACGGGGCGCGAATCCCACCAGCTTATTGCCGCCATGTTCGGCACCATACGAGATCTGGCCACTTTGAAGTATCCTCGAGCAATGGAGTCGGGCCTGCTCTTCTTCTTCTCAATCACTTGTTTGCAATACCCAAGTCGATTCGTCATGATTGTTCCAACGCAATAAAAACCCATCAGCCGTAGCTGGATCGCGAGCACAACTGAAGTATAGAAGCGGTCAACCACCACGAGCCTCATTCGACGCGAAGTTGGTGCTGGAGGCGTCTCCACGTCAGCGCTGGGACGCCGAGCAGGTAGCGGACTTGGTGTAGGCTGTGGTACGGAGCTCGAAGAGGCCAGTGAGCCAGTAGCAGCTCGGACTCGCGCTTGTTCGCGCACTCGGGCTTCTGCAGCTTCGACTTCAGCGCCGTAGGTTTCTCTGACAACTTGAGCAGCAGCTTCCAACTGGCCGTCGCCAGGAGCAAGTTGCGTCGACGGCAAGGAGACAGACGTCGCGGCGGGGACACGCGCACGACTTCGAAGAACTAGAAGTAAAGCAGCAAATTTGTGTCAGTTCTGTATAAATACAAACCATTCAATATAACCCCACCGTTCGCATAATACTCCAGCACTCCCTCCTCGCCCATGAAGTAGTCGACGCCCGACGCCCCGCTTGTACTGCCGCCGGGTCTGATATAGAAGTAGCGATCGTCCAGACTTCGTCGTGGCTGCGCCTTCCGCGTCCAGCCTTGAGCTTTGAGCTCTCACCAGACGGACCTGAACGATAGATCACGCGCTGTGACCTCGCAGTCGCGCAGGATCTTTCCACACGGTTTCACCATCGCCTTGACTTGACTTGCTTCCTCCGGCCGCAAATTCTCGAATGAGGCTGAATTCGCAAAGGCGGCGTGGTCCAGCCAATGTAGGAACGTGCCCGGAACGTGCCGCAACCCTCCAAAGATAGTTGCAGGTCAGTTGCAGTTTTCAAGAACTGCAAATTCCTATATCACGAATTTTGACAAATGAGTGGCCTTTCGTATGTAAGAAAAAGAAAGGCGCAAACAGAAACAATGCAAACTTTTATCTTAAAGTTTGTATACCTCTTGTCATGGGAAAATACAATTCATACAAAAATCAAGTCATTTTTTTCTTAAACTGCATATATGCAGTTTAAGGGTTCAAATCTAAGCTGCATTATGCAGCACCCGGTTTGGAGGGGTTAAGAGATTTGCCTATCTTCCATGCTACTTTCCGAACCTGAGTGCTGCACCGTTGGACTCCGATGCCGCGACGATCCCTCCAACTTGGAAGGATCGTCACGGCATCTCCTCATCGCAGCTCTTGAGTCGCAACTCTTGGATCGATCGTTTTTCTCTAAAATGCAGGAAGTCCATAACTCTGAGGGCTGATTCCTCGACATTTCCTCCTTGTTTAGCAGCTTGTTTGTCCATGCAGACCAGCCACCGGAGGAACTTCGTATTTCCCTTGAGCTTCACGCCGACAAGCTGCAACGTCTTATACTCCGAAACGTGCTCGTCTTTCAGCTTTTCGACGCGGTTCCAGCTTTCTTTGGGAGCGTAACTAGCTCTGCCCTATCTTCGTTGCTGCTGTCCACACCGTTCGTGGTTTTCAGTGAAAAAACTTTTCACCGCCGCCATGTTAGCCAACCTCTGCAAATGGAGACTTGCTTGAAGGTTCGCTAGGTTTTGTGAAGACGTAGTTATTCCATGAGTTCCCGCTATGATGACAAGGCTGATGCCGAGAAGCAAAGTACAGGACCCGCGCATACTTTATTTGGACTGTTTCTCCCGCCCGACGTTCTCTTGCGGGTTTGTTTGCAAATTACAAAAGTGAGAGCACCAACCGAGCGCAGAGGAAGATTAGTGTTCTAGAACCCGTAATCGTTACTTTAACCTTTCAGGAAGACTTTGTTGAAGCTATATGTAGTGCAGAATTGATCTGAGTCATCAGGTCAGCAAGCTGCAGTCTGAACATCTTTTAAGAAAGTTTTAATTTAAGTAAAATAAAAGTAGCAATGTTCTTGTAAGGCGTTGACTTTTAAATGGATAAGTTTATCTTAAAGTATGAATCCAGATCGTACATGTAATATGTACTGTACGTGTTCCGGTCATGCACTTATCCATCCGAAATCGCTTTACAGCGAAGAGGCCTCATACACTTACGTGTTTGTCGTTGTTGGCAGACAATTTACAGGTGCAATGTAGCTTACTATAATAGATATTAGCGACGCACTTCGTCGATTCTATCATGGTGTTTACGGGCGCGATGACCCTAATCAATATTGCACAGCTCTACACCTTTTCAACTTCAAAACTGCAAATTGTAAGTTCAAAACAGCAAAAGGTAAGTTCAAAACTGCACGAGCAGAGACCATGCTAGCTTCGTACTTTTATACACAGCTCATTGGTTGGCACGCAGCATAGCTAGCTAATACTCTATAATCGTACACGATGATAGATATCATTCAGTTTGTAATATACATTTATAGAGTATTGTTGTTTTGATCTTACCTTTTGCTGTTTTGAACTTACAATTTGCAGTTTTGAAGTTGAAAAGGTGTAGATAAATGTAGCCTTGCGATGAGCCAGAGCAAGTTTACGAGTCTGTGCCACCAATCCCGGACAGTACTGCAGTCAACCCCCTTTTTGAGCTGGCTTGCTTTCTCACTTTGTAAATCGCCCTCAAGTCAAGTCAGTCAACCAGTAATATAAGCGAATTCAAGCATGAGTGGCTCGTGTGTCGTGCTGCTGCTGCTAGTCATCGTTGTTGCCTTTGTAGCAGGTACTGATGGTCTTGCTGGCCATGACCACACCAAAAATTTCATCGCAGTCCAAGTCCCTGCCGGTCGCCGTTACCAACGGAAAGGGTGTTGCCGCGAAAGGGTTTCTCTCAGATCGAATGCGGCATCTCGAATGGAGAGTGATGGCGAAGACGAAGGCACAGTCAACCTCGGGGCGGGGCTGATGGCGGCTGCGAATAAACGCTGCTACAAAGCTGGGGCTCGATGTTTCTCTTAAGCCTAGTATAACACCGAAATAAATGTTTACAACGTTCAAACTGAGCGGTGCAAACCTCGAGGGAGACCCGGAGTTCCTCGACTGGATCTCAGGTACACCGATCACTACCAAACCAATACCATGGCGGGTTATGTAACTCGTTTGCTGCAAGTGCACGATAAAAGACCCGTTCAAAGGTTAGCGGCGCTTTCATTATGGCTTTGACGAGTTCCGAACAGGAAGAAGTTGGATGTCTGACTTGGTTTGGGCTCGACGATCGAGTGTAGAGTATGTAGTTGACTCCGACGACGAGCAATATATTGAAGCCTTGCGCATTTTTAGGGTTTACTTTACTAAGTACAAGGATACCACAATATATTCCAGTAGCCACATTTTTTTTCAGTTCGTGTGTTCTGAAAATGACGTCTGTGCGAGAGTCACATGCGCTGGTCTATGAAAAATGAATAATTCTATGGTACGATGGAATCCTAACATTTCAAGTTTTTTTATATTGTCCATGGTGTCACTTAAAGGCGGATACCGTCTATTATCCAAGCTTCGTGGCGATTGGTAGAGCTTCATCAGGCTTGTCGTTGGCGAACAACCCTCGCACTGTCTTCAGCACTTTCTCAATAGCCAGTCTTGCTGTATAGTAGGTTGTGTACTCTTCCACCGCTCTGTAAAGGACGTCATCTTTCTTTAACTCAAAAATCGCAGCCCCCCCTTTGCAGCGACAGCTGACACTGGACCAACTCAGGTGTCAACTTTTGGTCTATCCAAGCGCTAAACAGGAAACTCTGCACGTTGTCTCCGAGAGACTCCAGCTCGGGACGCTGTTTTAGTGCTTGGGAAATTCGCACGAGCTCGATTTCCGAATCGTCGTACTTCTGCTGCAAAAACCTTGAATGTTCGCAAGTCGCGCCCACCAACTGGCCAGTACATCTCAGTACTTGGAGTTACCTTGTAGTTTTTCAACTGGAAAGCTTGCTCTGTCAAGATGCAGCATCCTGAAAACTTCTGTCGGCGATTCACTTGAGCTACGCCACGTTCAGCAGCTCGCGCGAAGATGCCGAGCGTTCAACCAGGTAAATCTGCATCAGCTCAGCTAAGTTATTCCTGGCTGGGATTTTCCGCAGTGACTGGGAAAGCGATACCAGCTTCGCTTCCGAGTGGGCCTTTTACAGCAATTGAATGATTTGGTGGTCGGGAAACGCACAGTACTCCAATTTCCCGTACATGTCCACGTACTTGAGCCACAGGAGGAACCTTGGGTTGTTGTCGAGCTTCGCGGCGGCCTCTCCGAGGTGCAGACCAGCGCTGGGCCCGTCCTCCACTTGAGCCACAGCTTGTTAGCGAGGTTTTGGGCCGACGGACTAATCTTCGACTCCGCTCCTGCTAGCGGCGATAGCCCGGGAATGTAAGCCTTCTCGGAGTCGTCCTCGATGTCAGCGTTAAGCTTCTCCCCGGTGTTGAAGCGTTGTAGATTGGCGGAAATTCTAGTTTGGTCCGGGTAATACGCGAGAGCAGAAGCATAGCCAACCACAGCGCTGAGAAGGCAGATCGCTAGCAAAAAAGCACCAAGGAAACGCATCGTGGTCGATTCGAGGGCTTTTGTGCAAGAGGCGATAGGTGGACTAGCATTGTGTGCTTCTTGGCGTAATGGGTGACAGCGTAAGGACCACAAAGGGAATAGTAATCCCTAGAATTGTATAAAAAAGTGTTGGTTTGATTCAGTTTGATCACGAAGAAACTTCGCCATTTCGGACTGCTCAGTTCTGAGGGAAATGGGAAGAGTGGTGTTGCTAAGGAAAATGGGAAGCAGAACCAGGCTCACAAGCTGGCCCAACGCAAGAACCAATTCCAAGTGAGTAAGTTACTATAACAGTCGCAGTGTTATTGAGTACTGCACATTAGATGAACTAATTACGGATGCGATGCAATTCTGCTCACTAAAAACAAATGTATTTATTGTTGAAGCTGTCCCTGAAAGGAAGCCACCTTTTATTGCCTTTTTGCTAGGCTCATAGCGACTGCAAGAGCTTCGTAAGGTTCGTCGTTAGCAAATAAGCCTCGCACTGTCTTCAGCACCTTTTGGTCGCCCCAAATTGCTGTATAGTAGACCGTGTACTCTTCCAGCGCTCTGTAAAAGACGTTATCCTTGTCTAACTTGAAAATTGCAGTCCCCCACGGCAGCGCCAACTTACTCCGGACAAACCCAGGCGTGAACTTTTTGTCTACCCACTTCTTGAATAGGAAACTCTGCAAGTTATCTCCAAGGTCCCCCAGTTCCGGACGCTGCTGTACAGCTTGGAAGAGCAGCGCGATGTGCATTTCCGAATCGTCGTAATAGCTCTGCAAGAACTTAAACGTTCGCAAGTCGCGCTCGCCGGCGGGCCAGTGCATCTCGCAGTACTTAAACCACAGCAGGAACTTGGAGTTATCTGGTAGTTTGTCCACTGGAAGCCTCGCTCTGTCAAGACGCAGTATCTTGAAAACGCTTTGGGGAGTTTCACGAGATTTCAGCCACGCCTCATTCAGCAGCTTGCGCGAAGATGCGGAGCCTTCAACCAGGTAAAACTGCATCAAATCAGCTAAGTTCTTCCGTGCCGGGATTTCCCGAAGTGACAGGGAAAGTGATACCAGCCTCGCTTCCGACTGGAACTTGAGCAATAAGTGAATAATTTTCTCGTCGGAAAACGAGCGGAGCTCTAATTTCCTGTACATGTCAACGTAATTGAGCCACAGCAGGAATCTCGGGTTGTCATCGAGCTTCGTAGCGGCCTCTCCAAAGCGCAGCATGTTGAAAACCAGCGCCGGGTTCGTACGCGACTTGAGCCAAACCTTGTTCGCGAGTTCCTGAGCAGACGGACTAATCTTCGACAACGCGCCTACTATCGGCGATAGCCCGGGGATATAAGCCCTCTCAACGTCGTAGTTGCTGCCGGCCTTGTCCGCATCATTGGTCTTTAACATTCTTCGATCCAGATTAGGGTCGGAGTGGCGTATGGTGGGGGTAAAGATTCTTGCTGTGTTCGGGTCAAGGTTGAGAGCTGAAGCATCGCTGGTCACCGCGCTGTTGATTGTAAGATAGACCGCCAACAAAGTAGCGTAGAGGAACCGCATCTGTCGCTTTGGGGGGGGGTCTGGGCAAGTTGCGAAGTGGAATGTGAGGAGCGATGTCCCTGATCGTCCTGCCCTGCTGGGGTGCTCTCAGGTTATATTGTGTTGTCCGACCCTTCTTGTGTCCTCTATATGTGATGGCGTGCAGGCCAGCATAAACCCTGCAATGATGGTGCTTACGATGGTGACAAACCGGCACGGCATCACATTAGAGAGATTTCGCAACTTGCGAAGCATTCGGTTACGGATACAAAAATGGGTCACGTGGCTCGTTTTTGGAAATCAGATTGGGATTTCGCCGAAATCATTTCGGCCAGACGTCCGGATTTGGAGCCCCCATTCCGGAATCTGAATCCAAAACGGAACGATGTGCACCACATGGAAACAGTGTGCACCGCATAAGCAGTAACAGTTTAGAAAGGCACGTCAAATTTACAGAGTCTATAAACTACGCTTTTGGGAGGGTTTAAGGAGCAAAAGTATATGACACACATGTGTAGTCTCTGGTCAAAACGATCGTAATATCAAGGTTGTGTTGGTTTGTAGCTTGTGGTTGAGGGGGCAAATTCCGAAGTGAGATTAAATGTTATCGCCTCTCAAACTACTCTCTAGTCTTCCCCTCCTGCTTTCCTTCTTGTTCTCCTTGTGCTCGTTGGTGCCTCTCATCAGACGGATTACTCCCGGGTTCCGATTGACTTGATCTCAGTATACTTGGGTCTCCCTGACCAGCCATTGGTATATCCAGAGCCCGGCTGCCGCCGGCTCTCCCGTCGCCGTCGGATCCTCCGAGTCATCGGCGGATGTGTCCACACGTTCTCCTCGTCCATGTGCATCTATTGGCGGCGCTCTCGAAGACTCATGAACACTCCCACTCGCCGCTAATGCTGCACGACCGTCCCGACGATTCCGCTTGCGCTGATCAGGTACTTGATCCTCTTCGTCCCCAACGCCTTGGTAAGCATGTCCGCGAGCTGGTCCTCCGTCGGCACGTAGTTGACGACGATGAGTCCTCGGGACAAATTTTCGCGGATGAAGTGATGCTTGATGTCCACGTGCTTGGTCCTCGCGTTGTACCCAGCGTTGCTTGCGAGGGCGATCGCGCCTTGGTTGTCCTCCCATACTTGGGTAGCTCCCACTTGCTCGTGACCCATGTCCTTGAGCATGGCGCGGGTCCACAGCACCTCCTGCGTGCACAGGCTCAGCGCCATGTACTCGGCCTCCGCCGAGCTGAGCGCCACCGTGCGCTGGTACTTCGACTTGAAGACCACCGGCGCCCCGCTAATCATCACCATGATGCCCGACACCGAGCGTCGGTCGTCGAGATTGCTGCCCCAGTCGGCGTCGGTGTACGCCGTCATCTCGACCTTCTTCACGTTCCCATTGTAGGCGATGCCGATGTCTCGGGTGCTCTTCAGGTACCTGAGCACGCGGATGGCAGCCTTCCAGTGCTGCTGCCCGGGGTTCTTGAGGAAGCGCGACAACTGGGTCACGATGTACGCCACATCAGGTCTGGTGCACGTTGTAATGTACAGCAAACAGCCAATGAGTGCTCGGTAGGGCTTCGCCTGCATTTCCTCACGTTCCTTCTGAGTCATCGGCGACTGAGTCTTCGACAACTTCATGCCCGACTCGCACGGGTTCACCACCACCTTGGCGTCCTGCTGGTTGAACCGCTTCACCACATCATCAATGTATCGAGTCTGCTTGATCATGAGAGTCTTCGCCGATGAGTCATGGTCGATCTCCATACCGAGAATGAACTTGGCCTCGCCCAACTCCTTCATCTTAAACGCATTCTTGAGCGCCACCTTGACTTCCTGGATCTCGCTGCTCGTCTTGGCTGCGATGACCATATCGTCCACGTACAGGCAGACGTACACGAACCTGCCCTTCTCGCCCTTGACGTATACACACTGGTCACCGCCGCAGCTCCGAAATCCGATGCCCACGAAGACTCGGTGGATGGTCTTATGCCAGGCATTTTCCGCCTGCTTCAGACCATAGATCGCCTTCTGCAGCCGACGCATCATGTTCTTCGCGTTGATGATTCCGTAGGGTACCTCCATGTAGACGCGCTCCACCAGCCCGCTGTTAAGAAAGGCGGTGTCCGCATTCAGCTGCTCGGTGATGTACGCCTCGGCCACCACAGCCGACAACACCACTCGGATCGAGTTCATGTTGGCCACGGGCGAGTACGTCTCGAAGAAGTCCACGCCATACTTCTGCTTAAACCCTTTCGCCACCAGGCGGGCCTTATACCTGATGACTCGGCCGTGCTCGTCGCGTTTCTTTGCGAACACCCAGCGACAACCGATCGGTCGAGAACTCGGTGTCCGACGGACCAGCGTCCATGATCCGTTGTCCGCGTGTGCCTTGAGCTCCGCATTCATTGCCTTCACCCACTCCGACGACTCGTTCCTCTGCATGGCCTGCTGATACGTGGTGGGTGCGTCATTGGCATCGCCGACGTCTGCGGCGTAGGCCAGCACCGCCTCAGCCAATAGGCTGTCCTGGGTCGCTTTGGAGACGGTGGCCAGAAGTGATCATCGTTGTCCGAGTCATCGGGACCATCTTCTTTCGACTCCTCACCGTCTGCGGAACTATCTCCAAGTAGTAGTACCGGTTCTCGGGCGCGCCGGGCCCGTTCCGGCACGGGGTGGAAGACCATGTCATCATTCAATACCGGTCTCGCGAGTCGTCGGTACGTTGTCAGCTCCTGCATGGATGGCTCCGACGTCTCCACCTCATGCATCTCCGTGTCCTCGACGGTCTCTTCCACTGATTCCATCGGCTCGTCGGCGGCAGGTCGTTGTATCTCCTCGGGCAGTGCCGCATCCTCGGCATCTTCCGTCAACTCAATGATCGGCGAGTTCTCGCTGGGCGACGTGTCGTAGATGCCGTTCACCTCGCGCTCGTCCAGCTTCACCGACCTGGACACCTTCACCTTGTTCGACTCCAAGTCGTACACTCGGTAGCTTTTTGAGTCGTCGGCGTACCCAAGAAACATACATTTGAAGCTCTTCGGCTCCAACTTGGTGCGTCGCGACTTGTCGACATGGGCGTAACCAATCGACCCGAAGACTCGAAGATGGTCCAGCCGAGGCTTCGGCTTGAACGTCTACTCGTACGGTGTCTTGGTCGGGTGCATGCTGTTCGTCGACCGGTTGATCAGGTAGACAGCAGTGCTGACCGCCTCTGCCCACCATATCGAAGCCACGCCCTTGTAGTGTAGCATGCTTCGAGCCTTCTCCATGATCGTGCGGTTCATCCGCTCCACCACGCCATTCTGCTGGGGGCTATACGGGACCGTCTTCTGATGCATAATCCCATTCACCCGGCAGATCTCAGTCATCGGCGTGTTCACGAACTCAGTGCGGTTGTCCGAGTGCAGGCATTTAATGCGCTGCCCCCACTGGTTCTCGTACAGCTTCATGAACGACTTGAACTTGGTCACGACCTCGCTCTTCTTGGTCAAGAAGTACACCACAACGTGTCGCGAGTAGTCGTCGACAAAGGTGAGAACATACCTCGCTCCGCCCTTGGACTTCGTCTTCATAGGACCCATCACGTCCGTGTGAACCAGTTCCAGCGGTCGAGTCGTCGCCGACGTCGACCGCGACGGGAGATGTGCGACCGTCTGCTTGCCCTTCATGCATCCTCCGCACAGGGTCTTCGTCTGCTGTTGAGTCGTCGGGAGACCGTCCGTCGCCTCGTGGGTCTTCGCCATAGCGTCTCCGTTCAAGTGTCCCATACGAGCGTGCCATAGCTCCCACTTTCCGTCGACTCCCGAGTACTCGGTGTAGTGCGCCATGTCCTGCTGGCAGTCCAGCAAGTACGCCTTGCCGACCTTCTTCCCCGAAGCGATCGCCTTCGTCTTGTCCCAGATGACGCACGACTTCCGCTGGAACTCGACACTCATGCCGCGTTCAGCCAACCTCCCAACCGAGAGTAGTCGCCGGTCGAGTCCGGGGATGTGGAGCACCTCCACCTTCTTGATGCGCTTGCCGTCGATGCCCGTTAGGCGCACCGACCCTTTCACTGCCACGCGGATCTTCTTCCCGTCCGCGATTGCCACATACATGTCCGCCGCCGACTCGTTGTGCTCGAACAAGTCATCGCGGTGAGGCGTCATGTGAGCTGTCGCCCCACTATCGATCAGCCAACCCGCTGATGGATTCTCCGCCACAGCGAACACCGAGTCTTCGGCGGTGTCTCTATTTGCCTTTTCCGGGCAGTCCCGCTTTATGTGGCCCACTTGGTCACAATTGAAGCACTTGCCCTTGAAGCCACCGACCTTTCGTCCGCCGTTGCGCTTGCGGCCGAATGCCTTGCCGCCCTTGCCGAACTTCCCGTTCTGGCCCCTACCTCCGAACGAGGTAGCCTTCAACGCGGGCTCCGTGGGCTCCTTCTTCTCCTGCCGCTCGTACTCCTTGAGCAGCTTCTCCTTCACCTCGATGAGGGTCACGTCCTTCGAGTTCTCGACGATGGATGCGATCAACTCGTACTCCGCCGGCAAGCTGCTCAGCAGGATGACGAGTTGTCGGGAGTCATCGAGGGGCTCTCCAAGCGTCTGAAGGCCCACGATGAGCTCGTCGAACTTGTCCAGGTGCTTCGCCATCGTCGCACCGTCCTCCATCTTGAACTCGTGGAGCCGATGAGTCATCGTGACCCGATTATGTATCGTCGTCCGGTTGTAGAACTCGCGTAGAGTATTCCAGGCTTGGATAGCCGACGTCGCCGACCGAATCTTCGTGTGGTGTTCCACAGCCACGCCTTGAGCGATCAGACCGAGCGCCTTCATATCCAAGCCTCCGTCATCTCCGTCGGGTCCTTCACCACTTGGACGTGCGCCAGCAGCCCCTTCCTCGCGAGCGTCATACGCATCGCGAGCTCCCAGTGGAAGCAATTGTCACTTCCCAGGATGACTTCGGCCTACTTGCTGGACGTCGTCATGTCGGTCGTCGGGAAGGGCTTGAGCTTGTTGCGACTATTAACCTGTTGATTTGTAGCTTGTGGTTGAGGGGGCAAATTCCGAAGTGAGATTAAATGTTATCGTCTCTCAAACTACTCTCTAGTCTTCCCCTCCTGCTTTCCTTCTTGTTCTCCTTGTGCTCGTTGGTGCCTCTCATCAGACGGATTACTCCCGGGTTCCGATTGACTTGATCTCAGTATACTTGAGTCTCCCTGACCAGCCATTGGTATATCCAGAGCCCGGCTGCCGCCGGCTCTCCCGTCGCCGTCGGATCCTCCGAGTCATCGGCGGATGTGTCCACACGTTCTCCTCGTCCATGTGCATCTATTGGCGGCGCTCCCGAAGACTCATGAACGGGTTGACCGCGGATAGAGTCAATATAGCCTACCGTTTGATATTCCCCGCCCAAACGGATCGATGTATGTGCGTGCATTGCATTTTAAGGTTGTTTGAGCGTTGTTGGTTGTGTTGTGGGGGACAACTGCAACTGCAAGCAGTCGGTGGTCCACACCATCCATACGCTACCCAGAAATGTGCATTGCAGATTCTGATTGGGACTCGAGTTGCGAAACGAACGAGGCCTAAAATCCGAATCCGAAACAAATCCCACCAGGAAAACTGGATTAGGAATCGGATTCGGATATTTGCGAAATCTCTCTACTGACTTCTTTCAAAGTGAGTTACCAACCACTGAAGATTTTGCGTACACCGAACATTAGCGCAAACCGGGCCCTGTGAATTACAGCTCAAGAAAACTGTTTTTAGAGGAGCATTCTATATTTTGTTTTATTTGGTGGGCCTAGTGTTTCACGAAAAACCAATTGGTAAACCCTGCTGCAAAAGCGATCAAATTCCTTTGCTGATCGGTTTGTCTTTCTATAAGATTTTTTTCGATTCAGCGAGATGGTGTATCCAACGTGCTTAACACGATTCTCTTTTCAATCAAAAGATCTAAAGTTGGTGTGAGCTTAACACTGGGGTCACATTAAAAAAAATACTGCACAGTTTGTGTTTGCTTTCGTACGCAACGTGACTGCGCTGCGGGCCATTGTTCGCCTTCTCAATTTGAGCAGCAACCTGCTAGGTGTTTCGAAGGAACAAAAACGTGAGCACCTTATGAATTACGTCCTCGCCATGATGCTGGAAATTAATGCCACGTCCTAATATTACTTTGTGGCTTTTTTATAGGTATCGAGTGCTAAATTCTGACGTTTGGACCTGAAAACTGTGCGCAACTTTGCATTCTTTTGTGAAGAAGTACAATTATTTTTCGTCGCCAAACCCGCCCTATCGCATAAACCAAGAAAAAAATCAAGAACTGTGCGGCGGTGAGCATCCAAGCTAGCCCAGTTCAGTTCAGTCCGCCGATGCACACCATCTTGGACTCCAGGTACTTCTCCAAACCTTCAGGCGAGCCTTCACGACCAATCCCAGACTCCTTAACGCCACCAAACGGAGCCTGAACAATAGAAACCACACCAGCGTTCACAGCAACCATGCCGGTTTCCAGTTTACCAGCAACACGAAAGATGCGCGACACGTCCTGCGTGTAGAAGTATCTGGCCAGCCGAACCTCTGTGTCGTTCGCCTTGCGCACCACCTCCTCCTCGCTGGAGAAGACGAACAGCGGCACTACCGAGTCGAAAATCTCCTCGCTCCAGACGCGCATCTCCTCGTCAAGACCGTGGCCTCGTAGAAATTCTTGCCCAGATCACTGCGCTTACCGCCGACACGAACCTTAGCGCCACGAGACACTGCGTCTTCCAACCAAGTTCTCAACTTTCTCGACGGCCTCGGGTCCAATGAGCGGTCCGAGCTTCACTCCACGCTCCAGCGGCAGACCGACCTTGAGCTTCTTCACTCGCTGCACCAGTTTGGCCGTGAACTTGTCGTAGATGGACGAGTGGACGAAGATGCGGTTGCTGGTCACGCACGTCTGGCCGCTGTTGCGGAACTTGGCGGCCATGAGTCCGTCCAGCGCCTTCTCCATGTCAGCGTCCTCGAACACGATGAACGGCGCGTTGCCCCAAGCTCGAGCACAACGTGCTTCACAGTGGAAGCGGCCTGCTCCATGAGCTTCTTCCCGGCAGACGTCGACCCCGTGAACGCGACCAAGCGGATGTCGGGATTCTCGCTCAGTTCTTTGCCGATGCCGGAGTGGCTGCCCCGAGGCACCGTCACCACGTTGATCACCCCCGCCGGGACGCCAGCGCCAGCATGGACAGAGGCGTCTTGCCCGACGGCTTGACGACTGCAGCGCAGCCAGACGCGACACAAGGCGCCAAATTGCGGGCCACCGTCGCGTAGGGAAAGTTCCAGGGCCACATGATGGCGCACACGCCGACGGGCTCCTTCATGACCAGCACCATCTCGTCCGCGTCGGACAGAGACACCAAATACCCGCTGGAGCGCACGATCTCGTGCGCGTAGTACTCGATAATGCCGGCAGTGAAGTTAACTTCTGCTCGAGCTTCTTCAAGAGGCTTGGCGCTCTCGCAGGACGCGATTACTGCAAGATCCTCCGCGTTCTCCACGACGAGAGCGTGCCATTTCTTCATCACGGACTAGCGAGCCTACAATGGTCGATTTCATGGGGTGACTCAAACGTCAGCAACCACTTGAGGAGTGAATTTGTACTGGGGGCGTACCGGTGGCGTGATTTTCTTCCAGCGACGCTGGGCCACCTACGCAGCCGCAATGACCTCGTGGGCCTCCTCTCTCCCCATCCACGCAACGTGAGCGAGCTCTCATCAGTGGCAGGATCTACACGGCGATCCACAAGTTAGTTGGACAGTATTAGGGTGACAGGTCGACGATCAAGACAAACTGACCTACGACCGGGAAGCATTTGCCTCCACGTCCGTCAACCCGCTCGCCATTGACGAACCCCTTTGAGCGCAGAAGTTCAGGATTTCCAAGCGACTGCAACACTCGCCCGACGTGGTGCGGGGCCGAAGTGTGGTGGCCCTAGTGCATATTGGCTCGACGCAGCGTGTTCGGAAATGAACCTACAAACTGAATGGTCTTACCCTGATGAAGAATCGATGACCACGGGAGAATCCGCGTGGGACGGACAAGGAGAAGAATGAGAAAACCACCCCTTGATACGGTTAGCGACAGCAACAAAGTTCTCTCAGCGCAGTTTGTATATTCATTTGGTAGCAGGGTTTAGTTGTACGTGGTGACGGTGCGTCCGTTGAGCGGTTGGACGGGCCTTGCGTTCTTGCCGTCGTCCGTGATCTCCAGCTCGGCGAGGTTCGCCTCGATGCGGTCGAACTGGGCCGACGAGATCAGGATGGGAGTGCGCAACACCCACCAGTCCACGAACTCGGTGCAGGGCGGGGTCGTCAAACTGCCGGCGTAGTTGAAGACGTGGCCTTGCTCGACGTACGCTCCGATGAGCTCCGAGTACGAGCCTCTGCAAGGAACAAGAAGGAGATGTCAGTAAGGGAAACAACAGCACTCTGGCCCCTCATTGATCGATCATACGTACAGGGTCATAGGGATCGACGAGTCGAGTGTGACGTCGCTCATGGCGTCCACGATGACGTCCACCGCCGGCTCCGAGTTGGCAGCATCCGTTCTCTGGAGGAAGAGGCCGATCACGAGCGCGGCCGAGCCGTCCACCTTCTCGTGTACAAAGTGGATCTCCCCGTCGAACGCCTGGCCGTCGATCGTGTGCTCGGACGGCGTGTGCACGTGGAACTGGGCGAAGTTGTAGGTCTCCCCCTTGGCCGTGACGGTGCAGTTGCCCCCATCCACTGCGGCCTTGTAGGACTCCTCGGTCTCCGTCATGGTGTAGTCCGGGCAGGAACCGGCGAACGAGCCTGGAGGGGGTGCGTACACACTACAGAGCGTGGACTCGGCGATGTCGATGGGCGACTGCCTGGAGCCACCACACGTCGAGTTGACCTGGTTCCACTCGGACGGGCCGAACGCCTCCGAGTTGCTTCGGTAGGTGAAAGCGGGGTCTTCGGCCAGAGCGAATTGCAAGGCGGTGGCAGCTCCCAGCAGCGAGAGAGCGACAGACGGCGAAAACTTCATCGTTACATGGGTGCATTATCATTCTGCTGCCAGTCAGAATGCAATGTCTGCACTCCGCATATCGGAATTTGTATGCCAACTACATCTCTATATTTGTCGTTCGTGATACTTGGCGGCAAGAAACGTAACACAGCTTAGTTCGGAACCTTCTCGCTATCCGTAATCAACAAGGCTGCATTTCACCGTGTTGGTTACGTGTCAACGCGTGTTTGGATCTGTTCTTTTGTCACAAGACCCGGAAACACTACAGTGACGAAACGTTTTATATTTTATAACAGTTGCTAGCTGAATCTGTAACCGTCGAGGTGAATTCCCTCGTGACCTGAAAGTTGCCCGGTTCCGTGTCCACTTGCGTCATGGTATGCGACTCAAATCCGGTGGTAACGTGTAGTTTGTGTGATCGGGCAGGCGGCGTGCACCCTGAACTCCTCTCTTCCCAATATGCACTCGGTTTCCTCAATCCAGCATCGCCCCAGCTCTCGAGCCTGCCTCGGGTACACCGAGCGTGTAATCATAACCGCAGGACGCCTGCAACACAGCGACGCTTTTGGTTGTCACAAGTTGTGACAACCAAATTTTGGTTGTGACTCACAACCAAAAACCCTGACTCATCGTGCAGAATTCCAAAACCATCTCATAATCGTACTTAAAAGAAGTTTAACCTCTCGAAGTAAACAGGTTAATGTTTTGCTAAGTACGATTATCTCCAAGCATTTGACTTCTACCCGGTAGGCAAAAGCAGTCTTCCAGGTAGCAGCGTAGACCCGTTCATTTTCAAAGTCTGCCGACCATGGTGCGGACCAAGGGCCGTGCCAAGCCCAACGTGGCCGGCGAGCGCTACGACTCGAATGCGATCCCGATGGCGCAGCCGACACCCGCGCAGAGCCGCACGCGGCCGCACCCGGGCGCCTTCAACCCGGCGGACCTCATGGGCATGCTCGGGGGCGGCGGGGGCGGCGGCATGCCGGATATGTCCCAGATGATGGAGATGATGCAGGGCATGGGGGGCATGGGCGGGATGCCGGGGATGGCCGGCGGGATGCCAGGCATGCCGCCCATGGGGGGTATGCCGGGCATGATGCCGGGGATGCCGGGGATGCCCGGCATGATGCCCCCCATGGAGCCCATGCGGCCCAAGATCATCTACTCGTACGGCCTGGCGGAGGGCACCCCCACGGCGAGCTTCTTCACGTTCTACCCCAACTACATCGACAACAAGAAGACGGTGCAGCAGGGCCGCCGCATCTCGCAGGCGCAGGCGTGCGAGGCGCCGCTGGCCGACGAGATGTCGGAGGTCTGCACGTATTTCAAGCTGCCGCACGTGCTGGAGCCGGCCAAGAAGTACCCGCGCGACTGGCTCGTGTCGGGCCGCATCCGCGTGCGTCTCGTGCGCGACGACGGCGCGCCCGAGAACCCGGAGATCCCCACGCGCAAGGTACTGATGGTCAAGATGGCGGAGCTCATCCCCAAGCTGCAGAGCCGCAAGCTCCGGCTCGAGAAGGAGGCCGAGGAGGCCAAGAAGAAGGCGGCAGCGGCGGCGGCTGGCGCGGCCACGGCGTCCTCCGGCGGCGGCAAGAAGAAGGGCAAGAAGAAGGGCAGGAGATAAAAGACGCTCGAGAGCTGCAGGGGCCACCGACCAGGACTTGAGCGCTCGAACACGATGGCAGGAGTAGCGACAACCTCAGGCGACAGGCTAGAGCCTGCGGTATCCCCTTTAGGTTGAATACAGCGCCGTTCACGCTTTAGATTGTGGTGGTTTGAGTCGGCTTGAAGGTGACACGTCTACTGAGTGGCGTTGGCGGATGGATTACTGCGCGCCAGGAGGGCCACGACCCCTTCCTCGGCCTCGGCCACGTCCGCGACCTCCGGGAGCAGCGGGACGGGCAAACTCGCGCGGCTTGAGCTCCTCCTCAGTCTTGGGTGGCGCCAACTCCGAGCGAATGTCGTCGACAGCGCTGGTCGGGTTGTTAATCTCGATCTGAAGAGCGGACAACAGGTCATGTCAGCCCTGGCTAACACGGAAGACTACACGGAGACGCATCTACTTACCGTGTGGTCAAACTTAATGTTGAGCTGCTCGTTAGCAACAGACAGCACCGTGGCCTTGCACGTCGAGTAGACCATTTTCAGGCGCACAGGGGAGTCCTCCGGGCACACGTACATGAAAACTGCCAGCATCAGTCAGAACAAGACATTAGTAAAAGCCTCTAAGAAATTATCCATTGCCCCGCAGAATCAACTCACTCAACGCCGACGTAGCGCCCGACGACAAGGGTCCGCGGTAGCGATACGCCACGAAGCTCGGGGCGCGGCGGTCGAGCGTCGTGGGCACATCGATGAGCTCCACGCTCTCCAGACTCTTGACCACCTCGACGCTCTCATTGTCCTCGCTCAGTTTCTACAAGTTGAAGAGCCACCAGAAGATTATCCCATCAGCTTATGACCCATTGCTTGCTTCAATTCCTTCCCGGCCAGCTGCACTGCACTGCTTACCATGGCGATCCAGTCGAACTTGTTGTCCTGCAGCAGGCGTAGCTTGTCGCGCACGTTCTGCGTGATCTCGAAGGGAACGACGCCCATGGCGCTGGACTTGACGTTGGTGTCGCGCTCCAGCATGGCCGCCTCCTTGAGCAGCCGCTCCGACTCGGACAGCGGCGCGTCCGCCGCCTGCTTCTTCCTGGCCTCCAGGAAGCTCTCCCACGTCACCTCGCTCTACGATAAAAAGCAAGTAGAACAGTCGTCAGCCTGCAGATTCTACCTCAATTCCCCTCTGGATTCCTACCAGCTCCGTGGCGTGGAACTCGCCCGCGAAGTAGTTCATGCCCAGCTGCTTCTTGAGCGAGTCGCGCGACGACGAGTAGAGCATGCGGTCGCGCACGCTCACGCCCTCGGGCACGAAGGCCAGCAGCACCCAGCGCAGCGCCGCCACGTTCGTGTCGGGGCACAGCAGCACGAACGCCGCCTGCTCCGCGCTCAGCGACGACGCCACCAGCTGCGCCACGTCCGCGCGAGGCTCGGACGTCGCAGGGCCCGCGGCGCCCAGCACGAACGACTCGTCGTCGATGGAGACCTTCACGTAGCGCAGCTTGCCGCTCTGCGCGTCGGCGAAGGCACGCTCGAGCTCCTCGCTGAGGAGTAAGTTCGCACGCCCCATGATGATACCTCCGTAGTCAGATCGATGGCAAAATGATTGTGGCACATCATCAAAGGATGATTTGATGGGGGTCCAAGTATGATTATACGGGGGATCACCCTTTATCGACGATAATAGAACCTCCAAAGTGGTATTATCCTTGTGGCGGCAAACGGAAGACAACACAGCAAGGTGACAAGTTCGAACTCTGATCTCACGACTATTTGTCTGCTCTCCGAACGCTAGTGTCGGCTGATAACGCCAGAAGACGAACAATGAGTAAGTTCCTACAGCTCTTGTTTTTGTACTTGTATGACGATGGCCTACTAGTCCGCCTTGAAGAACTGCACAATGACACGAGTAACAACAGCATCAACGTCAGCGTTTCGAACACAACGATCGGCGCTTGCAGCTTGCAAGCAAGTGGACGTACCGCATCGTCAGCATATGCGAACTCCAGGCAATGCAAGGCACCAGAGAAGAGTCGCTCCCGCATGGGTGCGTTCTCCTTCAGGCCGAAGATAATGATCCGCGCTTGCGTCAAGTAGTCGTCGTTGCTCTCCTTGAAGCGCTCGAACAAAGCGGCCTGCCACAAAAATGGTTAGATTGGAGACGCTCGCCGAGCGAGTGAACATAGGAAAAACAGGCTAGCGATCGCACCTCAATCTCCTGCGCCAAGTCGCGACGCTTTGATCCTTCGTGGTCCAAGATTTCGCTGAGCATCTCTGCAAAAATATTTCGGTTCTTGTCCACGTTCTCCGGCGCTTCGAAAATGTCCTCCTTGTCCTTTACCGCACCGTCAGCAGATCTTTCCACCTTCTTCATCGGAGCGGCTGTCGCTGCAGTATCCTCCGTCTTCACCGGCGGGTTCTTCACAGACACATCTTCAGCCGGCTTGCTAGATCTCTTCCCTTCCTTGGTCGCCACGTTCTCCTCTTTGGTCACCACCTTCTCCTCCTTTGTCGACACTGAGTCATTATTCGTTGTCGCGGTGTCTGCCTTCTTTGTAGGCGAAGACAGCGTGGCAGGAGGCGACTTGACCTTTGCTTCAGAGTTCTCCTTTGCGTCGCCGTTGACTGCGGGTGCAGATGTCGGCTCATTCGTAGGGCTTTTCTGATGCTCCTCCGCTTTCACCGAGCTTCCGTTTTCAGCCTTCCGCTTCTTCGTTCCGTGCGCAGCAGCGTCGTCATGCGATTTCTTGCCCAAATTGGAAATTTCTGTGTCGTTGTTCAATATCTTGATCATGTGCTTTCGGAGTGCACTCGCTGCTTGGCCAACCGTTGGGCTCAAGCTCTTGCGCAACGTCGCAATTATGGCAGCCAATCCTGACCGCTCCACGTCCGAACGATACATGAGCGTTTCCTTAAACAGCTCCTGCATCATCGCAACCAGCTCGTCATTATTCCGCGTCGACTCCTTCGCGTGTAGCCGTGCCATTTTTCTCGCAAACGTTCCAAGATCGCCCACTTTGTAATCTCCCTTGTCCTTCTTCGTCTTCGGTTTGGGGCCATTCAGTTTTTTCTTGGCTGCCTCCTCCGTCATTTCACGAATATCTGCAGACTTCACGGTCTTGTGCGGAACTACCAGTTCAATCTCCTTCTTGCGCTTGCTATCGATCTCAACAGCACCATTCGACTTCGTGTGCTTTACAGTAGCCTTGGGTGCCTTTTTGGCGGCTGTTCCCGCGGCGTTGGCGCTGTCATCTGCTCCTTTCTTCTTGGGCGTTTTGCGGCTCGCTACCTTTGCCTTAATCTCCTCCTTGCTCAGCGTCGGGCCGGCAGCTTCCTCTTCTTCTTCCTGTGTAGTTACAACCGCGGCCTCCTTTCCATCCTTATCATCTGCCGCTTCCTCTGCGCTTTCCTCCTTTGTTTGCCGCTTCTTGGGCGTCTTCTTCGGGGCAGGCTTGGCAGCAGCTTTGCCCTTCGGAGGTCTGCCAGGCTTTCGCTTCGCAGGTGCAGGGGCTTCATCCGCGGACTCCTCCTCCACATTTTCTACCGGCTTCAGCAGGCCGTCCGCCCGCTCTTCAATCGGCAACTTGATTTCTTTCTGCACAGAATAAAACACGCAAAAACCACCATTAAATCAGGCGCCAGTTTTATCCGCTCCACCTCTTCCAAGCACTCACATCCGCCACTTCGATCGCCTCCATGAGCTTCACTCGTCGCTTGGGCGCCTTCGAGTCCTTCTCCGGGTGGCCCGCGCGGTAGTTGAACTTGGTGTCGTCCCACGGCTCAATCATCTTGAACAACACGGGAGCACTGTCATCACACAACAGCAGCAACAGCAACAACATCAGCACAGCATGCCCCCTCCTCCTCCTCATTCTCATCATCATCTTCTCTGCTGCAAGCACCGCACGTACAAGTTGTTGGACACGAAGAAGAAGACGAGGAACTTGGTCTCTAGCGCCTTGACGGCCGTGTCCTGCAGCTTCTTGGGCAGCAGGCGCGGGTCCGTGATGATGCACGGCCAGTACGGGTAGCCGCCCATCTTGGCCCACACCACCTGGCCGAACCTGCCCTTGATGTCGTCACTCAAGGCCTCCACCTTGCGCTCCACCTCGCGCTGCCCGTCGTCCGAGTCGGGCGCGGGCTCCGGCGCCGCCTTCTTCCTGCGGCCGGCGCCCTTCTTGGCGCCCTTGGCCGCCGTCTTGGCGCGCTTCTTGGGCTGCTTCTCGGGCTCCGACTCCGTGTCCTCGCCCTCCGCCGGCTGTTTGTCGCTCTTGGCCCCGCGCGGGCTCGGCGTGCGGCGCTTGCGCGGCGTGGAGGCGGCCGCGTCGTCGCTGGCCTTGCGCTTGGTCGCGGCCTTCTGCGCCTCCGCCTCCGCGACCGCCGCGTCCACCGAGAGCTTCTCCTCCGCCTGGGGCTGCTGCGCGGCCGTCTCCGCCGCGGGAGGCGCCTCGGCAGCCTCCTCCTTGGGCTGCTCGCTCATCTCTTTGGCTCGGATTTTTTCCTTGTGCGATGCGGCGAGGGCAGCCACTGGGCGGGCCGATTTTTCACTTGGGGTTTGTATACCGGATCTTCTAGAAAAACGTGGTGTGTTGCACACGAGCTAGAAGTACCGTCGACCGCCAGATGGTGACCTAATAGGGCGATTTGTATGATGCGGATTGAAGACGGCGGATGAACGAGATGACGAGGTTCGCTATGATGGAGAAAGATAGGCAAGCCAAGGCATGAGAAGATGTGAGAGTTGTTGAGTGAAGTGACTGACGGGAGTGTATTAACATGTGTCCGTCGTGGCGGGAGCTGTTGGTCGCATTAACCGGGTGCCATCGCATAACACCGTCGTCTATTCCATGCGTCCGCCCACGCGCACAGCAGAGCGCACTAGCACTCGCCGATGACGCTCCAACCATACTTCATCGTCGAAAAGAACGAGGTCCTTGGTAAAAGTTGCAGCAGAACATCAAGAGCAACTAACCGTCCACAGGTCTGTCTGGGCGGCGAGACGCTTAGTCCCAGCCGCTGCCAGCAGCGGGGGCGGCGGCGTCCCAGTTGGAGGCGGCAGCGGGGGCAGCGCCGGCCTCACCCGACCACTCCGTGTTGCCCGTCGAGGTCCACTCGGCGTTGGCGGCGGGGGCGGCGGGCTCAGCGGCGTACAGAGCGGGCTCGGCAGGGGTCTGCGTGGCCTCTCCCCAGCCGGCGCGGGCCTGGGCCTCCTCGGCTGCGGTGGCCTGGGCCTCCTCAGCCTTCTTGAGCTCCTCCGGGTCGCGGTACAGGAACAGGTCCACAGCCACGTCCCACGGCAGGGCGCGCGAGATCGTGCCGCGCAGGCGCAGCACCTCGCGGGCGAGCAGCCAGTAGAGCAGGCCGATGGAGAGCTTGCCCTTGTTGTTGGCCGGGATGGCCACGTCCACGAACTGCAGCGGCGAGTCCGAGTCGCAGAAGGCGATCACGGGCACGTTGACGAACGACGACTCACGCACGGCCTGCGAGTCGGTGCGCGGGTCCGTGATGATGAGCAGGCGCGGCTCGCGGAACTGCTTGGTGATCTGGTTGGTGAACGTGCCGGGCGTGAAGCGGCTGGCGATCGCCTGGCAGCCAGTGTGCTGGGCGAACTTGAGCACGGCGCGCTGGCCGTAGGGGCGGGCCGAGATGGCGATCACGTCCTCCGGGTTCTCCACGGCCACGATCACGCGGGCGGCGAGCATGAGCTTCTCCCACGTCTTGCCCACGTTGATGATGTGGATGCCATCGTTGCGGCGGCGCCAGATGTAGTCCGCCATCTTGGAGTCGGCATTGCGCGTGCCGATGTGGACCTGGGCGGCCAGCATCATCTTGATGTCCTCCTCACGTTGGGTAGCCATGGTTGCGATAGATTCCTGTCCTTTTCAAAGAGCGATGAATTGTGCTCGGCCCAGCGGCAAGAAGAGCCCCTCCTGCGACCACCACCAACCAAAGGAAAAACCTCGGGCGCCGTCACGGAGCGATAAAACCTTGAGTATATTTCGTGTGGTGCACATGAATGGTACAATGTACCGCTGCGGCCAAGTACGTCAGCCCTCATCCAGCACTTCAAGGTGGCGATGACACCAGATCTACAGCAGACCGGCATTCCCTTGCGATCCAGTGGAGGAAAAGCATGGCCGAGCGCGAGCGACCCAACGGCCGCGACATGGACGTCGCGGCCGCGGTGCTGACAGCAACGAACGAGGCCTTGACGCAGCTCACGCCGCTGTGGGAGGCCATGGGGCTGGCCGCGGACGAGCAGCTGCAGCAGAGAGGCGTGCTCGTCGCCGTGGTCAAGAAGAGCTGCCAGCAGAGAGTGGCCGCTTGGCGCAGGGAAGTCGAGCGCGTCACAGCTCGCGTGGCGGAGCTGGAGAGGGACATTCAGCGCATTAAGGCGCAGTTCCGGGGCGGCGAGGTGCGAATCGGGAAGAGGACGACATTGTTGTGCCGATGCGTTCTTACGTTGTGGTGGTGATCTAATGCTCGTTGCCTTTGCTGCAGTCGGGTGGCCGGCGCATCCAGCCGCTGGGCCAGCTGTGTAACGGGCCGCTGCGTGACAGACTCACTGCGTTGGAAACGGAGTTCAAGTTCCTGGACAGTGTATGGGGTCTTGGACTGTGCAAAGTTTTGCGCTGTGGTGGCTCTAACGGGGGGTGGTGGCGTCCAGGTTCGCGTCAGCCGTGTGGCTGAAATCGCCAAGCTCCGAGAGCATTTGAGCCACATGGACGCCAAGCTGGGCACCACGTCCGCCTTGGTTCGTTGTGTTGATTAATGTGTCAACCTGCAATGCGTCTCTAACTGTACCGCAGCCAACGGACATGGCTGACCTGAGCGACGAGTACAAGACCACTCTGCAGAAGCTGGCGGCTGCCAAGTCGCGCGAAGTTGTACGGTGATCAGCGTGCTGAATAGCGGCGTTGTGGTTGTGCGCTCATCTAATGAACGCTGTTACTTGTAGCACACGCGGAGGGCTGCGCTCTTGGAAGCTGTGGGCGAATGCGTGGGCCTCGCTCGAGAGCTGCAAATTCCAGCGGACAAGACATTCGAGGCTGACGTCAACGCCCGATTGAAGGTGAGTGCCATGCTCGAGCGCGTACTCGTTACACAAACCTGCTAATCGCCGTGCTCTATACAGAAGCGAGATTTAACTCTCGAGATGCTGCAGAAAATCTCGCAAAGAACTGCCGAGTTACGTGAGCTCAAGGTCGAGCGTGAAGCGCGCTTGGCAGAGATGCTAGGGGAGATCCAGGACCTGTGGCGGGAATTGCAGGTGCGCACATTGGGTGGTGGTGAAGGGCTTGCTTCGAGTGGAAAACTGACAATGACCTGAATAGATCCCCGAAGAAGAGCGGAATCGCTTCCGCAAGACTGTTCATGGAGTTGGCAACGCTGCTCTCGCGTCTGTAAGGCGTGCACCCTACGACTTGGCTGCTTGCAAGGGCTAATGTGTTGTTGTTGTTGTTGTGGGTAGTGCGAAGCTGAGTTAACAAGGCTTCACCGCCATCACAAGCGATTCGCCGCAACTGCTGCCCAAGTAACGAACTTGCGCAACGCAATTGCAGAGTACTGGGATTTACTAGGGTACAGCTCCGACCAGCGCTCGTACTTCGCCTCTATGATGAAGACGCCGCATTCAGAGCTGTCTTACAGGGTCTTCCGCGCGCACGAGAAAGAAGCCGAGCGACTGAAGCGTCAGCTGTTCGGAATGAGGGTCCTCACAAGTGTACGTACGTTCGAGAGCTTGGGTAGCATTCGTGTGGGTGCTGATCGAGCTGGTCTGTTGTGACAGTATGTTGTCAAGCGCGAAGAAATTCTTCAAGCCCGCGCCGAGTACGAAGTACCAGTCTGGTTTATTTCCAGCAGTGTGTTCTCATTGTTCCTGTGATCATGTCCAGGCATGGCGCCCCCGACGACATAACACGACTTCGCATTGAGCGGGAGCTGCCGAAGTACACCGCGATACTCCTCAAGCGCATTGCCATGTGGGAGAAGGAGGCGGGGGTCGTCTTCTGCTGGAACGGTATCTTTGTCATCGAAGCAGAAGATATGGACGGCGAAGATTTCTAACATGCGCACTTCGGTATCTGCAGGTCAGCCGTATTTGGAGCAGATGCGCTCTGATGGTGGCGAGTACGACAACCAGAGAACCGAGGACAGGCAAACACAACAACTAGAGGAAGCAGGCGTGCTGCAGGACAGCCAGACCTCTTCCGGTAGTTTTAGCAGTCGGCAAATCGCCCAGGTTGGTTGAGACTCCAGTCAGCTTGCTTGCTTTTGTTTTCTGACTTCAGTTGGGTGCGAATGGTGTGCAGCGGCGACGTCGCCACTCTATCGAAGAACGCAGACACCCGCACCTCGAAGATGCAGAGACACAGCTTCGACGTCGCCAATCGGACCCACAGGCCCCCGAGCGTCCCCGCTGGCGAAACCTTATCCGAGCAACGTTTGCAAGACGAGCTAACTCATAGGTGCACTGACACCCAAAGCGGTTCATCCGGAGCGAGTTACCTCGCACGTGTCGTTTTTGCTTTACATACTGGCAGTAACACTCTCGAAAGACAAGTAAAAAATGCGTGAAGTGATGTCTGAGAGTACCGTATCAACATTGTATAGTCGTCGTGGAGGGGTCTTAGCTGTGTCCTGCGGTTCGCAGTGAACTCCCCGTCACCCAAGGCAACTCTGATGGTGTTTCTACTGCATGCGCATGGTATCGGACGCTCGCTACGAGTTTCGTAGTACGAAAATGCAACCTCGTGCCGAAATTGTTTGAGGGGTTTTGCGGGCACAGAAGAATCTCACCCGATTGGGAATCAGCGTCGACTGCAACGGTGACTTTGGATTCTAGAACTTTTGTCGCGTACTGTTGCCATTAGGTCCTGGTCTAAATAATCTAAATAAAAGCTCCGAAATTCGGAGCTTTTACCGTACCCTTTTGCGAAAGAGATGTAGAATCAATAACTTCTCATATCACTCCACTCACTCTCGCTGCCTTGGAATAGCGACAGCGGACGTTCATCAATGAGGGAGACCAGGTCCAAACAAGGACCCAGCACTGCAACCACCGACATCCCGAGTCAATGAATGAAGTCGAATACGATCATCAAAGTTATTGAGGTTGTCTACTCGGAAAGTCAAGTAGAATAAGTTGTACTATAGAAATGATCCTGTATAAGTACGGTCTTGGCCTCTAATTGAAAAAGTTGCCGTTGCATATTTGATCATGATTATCCGTACGTGCAGAATT